TTTATCTCACTAGTTTTTGCCTGGCCACCCCCCCCCCAACACAACAGCCGAAGGCTATGAGGACCACCCGTTTCCAGGGTTCAAGACTGCGCCGAGTGACAGGATGATTGATGGCCTTGTAATAACAGCAGCTATACTTACAATGCATAACAATAACAATACTATGCCGGACAATACAAATCCTATGGCAGTTGTCCTGGGTCTGATCTTTGCCTCTCTTGGTGAACCAGGGTTAAAGGGGCACTCACGATGCTTTTAAGCTGTGTCTCTCAATTGGGTGTATTAATTTGTCTTATAAAAAATGAGGAGTAATTAACAATTATGTAAAAGTGTACTGACGATGTCAGTACTGTCGCACACCACAGAATTAATGAAACCTTCCTGTAAACTAATTACGACTGCCAACTTTTGACATCCGATCTTTTTTTTTTATATTAAGTATTACTTTTTATCATACGGACAATATATGCAAGCTGTTGTGATCGTTTTAAACTAACACTACTTGAAATTGAGGATGTTCCCTTTGTTAAGATTCAGTGACCACTTTGTTAATTTCATTCTGTAGCTGAGTTCGTACGCACTGGCACGAATGGAAGAGTATTTCCATGACCCATTTCAGTTTGAACCCGACCGCTTCAAGGCTAGTGATGACAAGTGAGTGTTTCTACCTTCATTGCGATTATTGTGATGTACGACAATATGAGTCTTTACATTTACATGTGTCTAATATTGAGGGTCCATCAAGTGAAAATGTCAGAAACGATTTCTTCCCAAGTGAAGGATTCATTAGCACACTATAGGCAGGGTTTTGGGTACTACAAGACAGTGCAGATCGTGACAAGGTTCACTGAACAATGGCCCTAGCTTGGCACCATCATTTTCAGGGGCATTGTCCAAAATTGTAAAGTATTTGTACGATCTAATAATTAAGGAATTGAAGTCACCAGACTTGACTCAAGTCGGATTTGTGTGACTGCGCAACATTTACTCTGAATGTTAGCCTTCGCAAACCCACTTTCATGTTGTATGCTGCTTGCGAGTTTAGCCTTAAAACAGTTAAAACCAATGGTTGTGTGTGAGACTAGTTTTGGCTGGTTGATGCCGGCTAGCTGACTGACCGACTTGCTTGCTTGTTAACCTTCTGTATATATACATTTGTATTTTTGTATTTAATACATTTGTATTGTATTTCTGGCAGATCGCATTATGCATATTTTCCGTTCTCGTTGGGTAGTCGCAACTGCATCGGCCAGCAGTTTGCATTAGTAAGTGTAATATGCTTTTATTATGAACCTACTTAAATATCTTTAAATCATCCAATTCTAAGAGACTGTACTTATATTAATTTGATGAGTATGCACATCAACGAAGCTAGAATTAAAAACAGTATAGCGCTACTACCGAATAGTCAAACTAATTTGATTTTTGTTGAGATATATTTCCTAATAAATCAAAATCAAATTGAACTAAGTCATTTTAAGACTGGTCTTTTTTATTTGTCACTGAATGAGTGTAGATGCCACGCTAATCATACACGTGCTTCGTAAACAAAAACTTACCATAGTGCATATTGATAAAAAAAAATACTTTGCGCTGCTTTTACCAATTAGGCGTTTTTCTTTTCTCAGATCGAGGCTCGTGTTCTGCTGGCCAAACTACTGCACAGGTTCAACTTTAACTTTGTCCCAGGACAAGGTTACGGGGTAGTAGATGAGATCACACTGAAACCTGCGGGGAGATGCAGAAACTACTTGACACCTGTGGAATAGAGGATGGAAATAATCCTCCCACAAGTCGGAATGTTTTGACAAACATGATGCGTTATCATATAAAGCAATGTCAGAACTTCATTGAAATCCATGACAGTCCAAGGGCGGGTCCAGGGGGGGGGGGGGGCCAAAGGGGGCAATGGCGCCCCCCCCCCCAAAAAAAAAACACGAAACCATTTTTTTTTTTTTATGTGACATCGCAATTAAGGCAGGCAATGAGTACACCACCATCTTTTCCTCAAAAAATCATTGGTTAAAGTGGTCAGAAATTGCCTCAGATCGCACCACAGAGCATCTAGAATCCGTAATTTTGTTGACCCACTTTTTTGAGGGACCAAAATTTTTTTTGGCCCCCCCAAAAAATTTGTGTTCTTGATCCGCCCTTGTGACAGTCAAGCAGTAATTTCCGTTGAAAGTTAATAGGCCTACATAAGTGACGTGGATGAAGAATTAGAAAGAGGGAAAGGCTAGTATTGTAGATAAAGAGTCAAAACTAGACTGTCTTTTGGAACACAAGTTAGGTCTAATCAAGGGTTACTTAGAAGAGAAATATAGGACACTTCGTACAATGTTTTATGAGCACATTTAGTAAAGAGATATATTTTGGTTACTTGGCCAGTCAAGGTTTTCCAACCCGTAGAACCCTCGGAAAGGTGATGTTTTCAACGTTTTGAATGTCATGAAAATGCTGTTTTCCTGATTGGTCGCATTTGAAGTATCGACTACATGTATAATATGACTTGTACACTTGTATAACATGAGTAATATTTTGTATGTTTTTACATTTTTCGTTTCCTGAGTTGGGAAAAATTATATTAAAGATGCTCTTCATGAAGGAGTTTGTTCTCATAACGAAAATTAAAAACCTACTTTATCCCAATTATGGGCGTCCGCAACCATCTGAAAATGAATATCATTTTGCGCACAAATGAACCCGACCTCTGAGAGCTCATTTATTGGCTGACTGTCAATAATTCGATTTTTATGAAGAAATAATTCAATAATTTAACGTCGGATAATTTTTTTGTTCAGTGTTTAATTCAAATATTGAAAAAATTATAAATTTTCGAGTTGAAACTCAAGAATAGCAATGGGAAATTATCTTTAAATGCAGGTGAAATTAGGTGGTAAAACCTGTTCGATAATTTTCGAGGAAATGATGTCCTTGGACAACTGATTTTAGATTGGTCCCTTCTAAATTAAGTATTATACTACTGTCTCATGTCCATTTTTTACCACATCTCTGAGTAATAACAGATACGAATGCAAAGACAGTAGTGAATTAGTATCGTTTCGGTTACCGGTAACACCGTGTGGTAATAACTACTGCTTAGAAGATTTAGTTCTGAAAAAAAAAACTTGTCCTGCTTATTATCAACTTTCGCTAAGTAGTTTTAGTTCTGATAAGAACAGTCCAGCTTTAAGTTATTAAAGAACTTGTCTTTAGAACTTAAGAACTTAAAGCATTTCTTATCAGAATTAAAAGAACTAAAATTACTTGGCGAAAGTTGATAATAAGCAGGACGAATTCTTTTCAGAACTAAATATCTTCTAAGCAGTAGTTTTTACCACATGGTGTTACCGCAAACTGAAAATATATATCGATACTCCATCTTATATCAGTAGTGAATTAGTTGTTCATTGTACGAGTTTTCTTTTGCATTCATTCTTTTGAAAGTACATATCGAAGAAATCCCCAAAAAGCAGAGTATGTCCAGTAGAAACCCCCGCTAACAAAATGACATATTATGTACATGATTGTTTTTGTAAATTAGAAAATTGATGACATGTACTTATGACAAGAATAAACCATTAAAACCAAGTTAATATGCCAGAATAGTCACACTCAGTTAGTAACCCAATGAGAAATTCAGTTACCTGATATGGAAATAAAAGGTCAATAGTTTAGTCTGAAGTTTATGTCTAAGTAATGAAAAGCCAGGAATGTTTTAAGGAGTTATACAGGGTGACCTCCATAGCCTGGGACCTTAACGTCATGAAATGTTGCGAGCGGGGCACTGATTGTGCTTTCGAGGGGTAGTTTTCCATCTCGAGAAGGTGCACAATCTTGTTAATGCGAGAGGGGTATACTTGTGTTTGTGAAGGGCCGTTTTGCATAACAAGAGAGGAGACAATTTTATTTGTAGCGCGATCACATGCTTTCCTACGTGTGCGTTTGACGGGCAGTTTTGTTTTCATCTAGAGGGGGCACATCTATAACCGCGGGAGGGGCACTTTTGTTGGCCTGGAAAAAGGGGGGGGGGTATTAAGTGGCCCCTGCCCCCCCCCCCCCCGGTTCCACCGCCCTTGGCAGGTTATGACTTGGTTTAAGTTGGTACTAGGGGGTTTGTAAACCACACTGATAAACAGGTTCTTACATTGACGTGGGGGGGGGGGGGTGATGATTTCAACAGATGCATTCAAAAGAATTATTACCTAGGTCATTTACATCAGGCCTCCGAATACATTGAGTATATTTCACCTCCCATTTTCCCCTCCTCATTTTTGAGTCTTCAAGATGTAGCCAGGTGCGTTTAGATTTAGATTACATGTGGCAAGCATAAATTATCAATTTTTTTTTTACTTAAGCTTCATTTATATTCAGACGCAAGAGGGAGAAATTATCAGGAGGATTTTGGTGAAAGAAATCAACAAACCTTTCAAAAGAAAAGAAATGTGTATTGTTCAGAGTCGGGGTGAAGTATTATCGGAGTCTTCAATTTGCAAGGGCTAGGCCAACATTATCCAGGGCTAGATCTATAAGGATTTCCTAAATTAGTAACTGGGTGTATGTCGAACTACTTGTATATCAATGTTAAAGTTCTAATGATTTCCCATGTAGGTTCTGATTGTACTTGATTTGTTCTGTCTTGTCCTGTTTGCGTTGGTCCCTTGTCTCTGTATGTGTAACTTAAAGTGTGTACTTCATTGTGTATAGTAAAGTTAAAGGAACAAATGTAATTAATATATACTTTTTCTACACACAATGGACTTCTCCACTTGACAAGCTTGCTTTTTGGAGAAGCCAACCGCTTATCCGTTTACCTAAATTATTGTCTTAACCTTTTCCCGTCAAAATGATTAAGTGGAAATAAATATGAATGAAAAAAAAAATGGTAAAGGCAGAAATTACTTGAGCCTGGGTTTAAAGATGAATCAATCATGTGTATCGACCCTGATTCGTACACAGTGTGATATCCGTCGTACTTCCTGCATTGTCTCTGCTCTGGAAATCTCAGTTGACCTTCAAAGCGAATGAAAACATTAATCATTAAATGAAATTTTCTTCCGTGCACCATAGTCGGTGCCAGGCAGCAACGCGACTCTTAATTGTTATCATATGTATCAGTAGGCTACTAGCATTATTGTGTCTGCTCGACAAAACTTTGACCTTGGCGAATGAAATCATTGTCGTTTCTTCCATGCACCACACTCAGTCGATGCCGGTCAACAACACGACTCTGACGGTCACCGCAGCTGCATTAGCGCACAACACACAAAACCCAGCGAAATACGTAGTATACTTAGCCAACCACTGCAACTAAAATGGCCGCTGTCACTATCGCAACTTGCCTGTTTGGGCTAGTGGCTGTCTTCCTGACCTGCGGTGGTATTATGTTGGGCGCCTTTGTTTTGTTTGTGCATTACCAGCATCGTAAGTTCGCCCATATACCCTCCGCACCAAGGAAAGGGCTGAAAGGGTGAGTAGCAAACAGTGGAGCTTTAAGTATTGGACCAATGGAGACGGGTAGGCCTATGTCAAAACATTGTAATGATCTTAACAAGCTTTTAAATTAAAACAAACCGCTTTCAACCAGCAAGCCAATGTTGTTGACATAATAACCGTACGCTCACACATTGCTCATATAGTAACTTTTGCAGTAACTAGGCCGATACGATACTTGAACAGTTCTGAACTAATGGAATTTCACAAATCTAATACCATATGGTATAACAGCGGGCTTTGCTGACCAGAAAATCAGTTAGGCTACGGCTGTTTGTCAATACGTGGTGTTTAGACAGAATTCATAATATACGTGTTTCACAATAATGATTCTTCACTGGATGGGATACAGGTTCTTTCTCGGCCATGCCCCAGTGATGGTAGAATACCACAAGAGGAACCAGTCGTTCAACGATGCAATCGTTGAAATGTGAGTTCATCGCAAAATTGATTGAATCAACATTAGAATTGAGGAGTTGGCTTTTGTATTTGATTTTGAAATACAGTTTGAGAAATGTGAAAGTGAGACATTAAATTGGGAAAGGTGGTCATCTATAATTTATGTAGCGCACCTGGAAGTCTAAAGCTCATAACTTTTTTATGGGATGGGAAAAGCTAATACATTAGATAAATAAAACCTGAATGAGAAAGATTAGAGGGATGTGCAACATGGAGGGATACACGGGATGAGGGATGTACGAGATGAGGGATAAACGAGATGAGAGGGATATACAAGATGACGGATACACAAGATAAGAGGGATATACAAAATGAGGGATATAAGAGACGAGGGATATACGAGATGAGGGAAAAACGAGATGAGGGGTATACGTCTTGAAGGATATACGAGATGAGTGGGATATACGAGACCAGTAGGATATACGAGATGAGGGATATACGAGATGAGAGGGATATACGAGATGAGAGGGATATACGAGATGAGAGGGATAAACGAGATGAGAGGGATATATGAGATGAGAGGGATATACGAGATGAGAGGGATATACGAGATGAGAGGGATAAACGAGACGAGAGGGATATACGAGATGAGAGGGATAAACGAGATGAGAGGGATATACGAGATGAGAGGGATAAACGAGATGAGAGGGATATACGAGATGAGAGGGATATACGAGATGAGAGGGATATACGAGATGAGAGGGATAAACGAGATGAGAGGGATATACGAGATGAGAGGGATATACGAGATGAGGGAAATTCAAGATGAGAGGGATATACAAGATGAGGGGGGTATAAGAGATGAGGGATATACCAGATGAGGGATTTTCAAGATAAGATTTCGAGAGGGATGTAAGAGATATACGAGATGAGGAATAAACGAGATTAGAGGGATATACGAGATGAGGGATATACAGGATGAGAGGGATATGAGAGATAAGAGATATACGAGATGAGGGATATACAGGATGAGGGAAATACGACATGAGAGGTATAACCTACATGAGGGATAAACGAGAAGAGCGATATACAAGGTGACGGATATACATTGTAAAGGATGAGAGGGATATACAAGATGAGAGGGGAACACAAGATGAGGGATGTAGGGATGAGAGGGATGTACGAGATGAGGGATATACGAGATGAGGGATATACGAGATAAGAGGGATATAAAAGATGAGGATATGCAAGATGAGAGGGAAATGGATATACAAGCTGAGAGGGATCTACGAGACTAGGGATAAACGAGATGAGAGGGATACACAAGATGACGGATATGCAAGATGAGAGGGAAATGGATATACAAGATGAGAGGTATATACAAGCTGAGAGGGATCTACGAGACTAGGGATAAACGAGATGAGAGGGATACACAAGATGACGGATATGCAAGATTTGAGGGATAAACGAGATGAGAGGGATATACAAGATAAGAGGGGAACACAAGGTGAGGGCTTTAGGGATGACAGGGATGTACGAGATGAGGGATATACAAGATAAGGATATGCAAGATGAGAGGGAAATACAAGATGAGAGGGATCTACGAGACGAGGGATAAACGAGATAAGAGGAATATACAAGATGACGGATTTGCAAGATCAGAGGGATAAACGAGATGAGGGATATACGGGATGAGACAGATATACGAGATGAGGGATAAACGAGATGAGAGGGATATACAAGATGAGAGGGGAACACAAGGTGAGGGCTTTAGGGATGACAGGGATGTACGAGATGAGGGCTATACAAGATGAGGATATGCAAGATGAGAGGGAAATACAAGATGAGAGGGATCTACGAGACGAGGGATAAACGAGATAAGAGGGATATACAACACGACGGATTTGCAAGATCAGAGGGATAAACGAGATGAGGGATATACGGGATGAGACGGATATACGAGATGAGGAATAAACGAGATGAGAGGGATATACAAGATGAGAGGGGAACACAAGGTGAGGGCTTTAGGGATGACAAGGATGTACGAGATGAGGGATATACAAGATAAGGATATGCAAATGAGAGGGAAATACAAGATGAGAGGGATCTACGAGACGAGGGATAAACGAGATAAGAGGAATATACAAGATGACGGATTTGCAAGATCAGAGGGATAAACGAGATGAGGGATATACGGGATGAGACAGATATACGAGATGAGGGATAAACGAGATGAGAGGGATATACAAGATGAGAGGGGAACACAAGGTGAGGGCTTTAGGGATGACAGGGATGTACGAGATGAGGGATATACAAGATGAGGATATGCAAGATGAGAGGGAAATACAAGATGAGAGGGATCTACGAGACGAGGGATAAACGAGATAAGAGGGATATACAACACGACGGATTTGCAAGATCAGAGGGATAAACGAGATGAGGGATATACGGGATGAGACAGATATACGAGATGAGGGATAAACGAGATGAGAGGGATATACAAGATGAGAGGGGAACACAAGATGGGGACTTTAGGGATGACAGGGATGTACGAGATGAGGGATATACAAGATGAGGATATGCAAGATGAGAGGGAAATACAAGATGAGAGGGATCTACGAGACGAGGGATAAACGAGATAAGAGGGATATACAACACGACGGATTTGCAAGATCAGAGGGATAAACGAGATGAGGGATATACGGGATGAGACGGATACACGAGATGAGGAATAAACGAGATGAGAGGGATATACAAGATGAGAGGGGAACACAGGGTGAGGGTTTTAGGGATGAGAGGGATGTACGAGATGAGGGATATAAAAGATGAGGATATGCAAGATGAGAGGGAAATACAAGATGAGAGGGATCTACGAGACGAGGGATAAACGAGATAAGAGGGATATACAAGATGAGAGGGATATACAAGAGACGGATAAGCAAGATTAGAGGAATAAACGAGATGAGGGATATACGGGATGAGACGGATATACGAGATGAGGGATAAACAAGATGAGAGGGATATACAAGATGACGGATATGCAAGATCAGAGGGATAAACGAGATAAGGGATAAACGAGGATATACGAGATGAGGGATACACTGTAAAAACGTTGGGTAAAATACTGTTGGGCAATGTAATTTACCCGACATTGGTATGAAATTACCTCATATTGGGTTGAATTGGGTAAAAACTGTCAAACTATTGAGAAGAATTTGCCCAAGAGTGTAGGCAGTTGATAATTCGACCAGCACTGGTCGAATTATCAACCCATTTTGCCCAACTTTTTTTACAGTGTATACAAGATGAAAGAGATGTTCGAGACGAGGGATATGCGACATGGGAGATACAGGGGATGAGAGGAATATACAAGATGAGATGGATATACGAGACGAGGGATATACGAGATGAGAGATTAACAAGACGATGGATATACGGGATGAGGGATCAACAAGATGAGGGATATAAGAGATGAGGGATATACGAAATGAGTTGGACATGCGAGATGAGAGATAAACGAGATGAGGGATATACGAGATGAGTGGGATATGCGAGACGAGGGATTAACGAGACGAGGGATATACGGGATGAGGGATATAAGAGATAAGGGATAAACGAGATGAGTGGGATATGCGAGATGAGAGATTAACGAGACGAGGGATATACGGGATGAGGGATCAATGAGATGTGGGATATAAGAGATGAGGGATATACGAGATGATATACGAAATGAGGGATAACGAGTTAAGGCGTTTACAAGACGAGAGGGATATACGATAGACCTTACGTTATGAGAGAGCGTAAGCGTAAAAGATCAAACTGGACCGAAGGTCTGGTGCAGAGAACACTTAAAAGCTATGCTTTATGTGTATAATATGTATAACAGTTTAAACAAGTTTGTGTAACTGTGGTGTTCTTTCATAATGTGAATGCTAACTTACACCATGTCTACCCGGTTTTGTTCCATCAGGATGCGTGAATATGGCCATGTTGTAGCTATATTTTTGCTCTTTCAACCGATCATACTTGTGTTTGATCCGGACTTTGTCAAGGTATGTGATTTACAAATGATTCTGGTTGGTCTATGAGGGGAAATATGACATTGTCAAACCATACGTTGTTCTTACATAATTCGTTATATGAACCTAACCCATTGTTTTTAAAATACGCTAATGTGATATTGTATATCACTGCGTATTAATCATGCCTATTAAACACCCTGATACATTGAATGTTTAATCACACAGAGACACGGAAATTGATAAGATGAACAGCAATAATTGTTACATTTAATTTAACACTCGAGACACATTTTCTTTAAAACAAAAATGAAAGCAGAAAAAGGCCCCGCACTAAATGCTTCCACGCGTTGTTCAAAGAGTTGAAATGAACGGGCCTCCTGAAAATCTACACAGAAAAGGGAATTTGTTTGAAACTGATGTATGTTTTTTTCCCAATATTATTGGGTCAATTGGGGGAGCTTATATTTTTGAGCTGGGGCTCTCAATGCGTTTTTTTTTTTTACAATAAAAAGTGTTTCTTTCCATAACTTCTGAATTGGGGCACAAATGGTAGGTAGATAGAGGCGTCTAGCGAGGGGCGGGGGGTTGTTGTTGTTATCGTGCCCCCCCCCCCCCACACACACACACACCACTGAGAAGAGCCCCTTGCCATTTTCTGCAAGAAAATTTAAATTTAAAGGACTTTGAAAATAATTATCTCGTCCTGTCTCAAGTTAAGTGACAAGCAGTTCAAAAGGAAACTGACTGAAGCAATTCTCTGCCACTGTTCGTCACCGGTCCCTACTTGTGATTTGACTTGTGTTGACCTGTGCTGGACTTGCCAGCAACACCATTCGTTGGTTAAGTGAGGGTGCTTGGAATAAAATCTTTCATTATGCCCTCTCGTTTCTGATTTCAGGGAATCTTGTGTACCAACACGCATCCAAAACCTTACAAGGCTTATAAGCTCTTCAAGAAGATCCTTGGAACGCGATTCCTGGGAAATGGCCTAGTGTCTGTTCTGGACTATGAGACACACGCACCCAAACGGGCTCTTCTCAACCCTGCCTTCAATAGAAAGTAAGCCAATAGACACAATTTATTTAAACACAAATCCCACATGCAACCACGAAGGAGTGCAACGACACCAAGCCGAAAAGGGACATCTGATCGCGAAAGTAGTCACTTGACCGCGCACGTTGCGGAAAATTTGATATCGCACTTACGATCCGAACACTCCTCGTCTACCCAAGGACAGCTCAATGTCACATTGATCAGGTTTTTTTTAACTGCCTACCCAATATTGGGGGTTTTTTTTGACTGAAAAAAACAGAGAGATTTTTCAGAAGAGCTCTGACCCCCCCAATGCATTTTACATTACGGATTTTCAGGCTTGGTTAGGTGACACCCCCCCCCCAGCCATTGTGCAAACACGATTTCAAGCAAGATGGCGGTATCTGCTAGATGGTTTATGGTGTTACCGCAAAGCTTCATTAGTTCAGAGATTTGCCACATGGTGCTACCATAAAACTTTATCTTCAAAGTATGTTCTCGATGTATTAAAATCTTTTCATGATGACTTATTAAGGTATCTGCAGGGTATGATGGGGCAGTTCAATGCAGGAGCAGATGTCTTGATTGAAAAGCTGAGTCACAAGGCTGATGGTAAGACGGAGGTCGCCATGTTGGATGAGTTCAATCGCACGACGCTCGACATCATTGCTAAGGTAGAGAGTCATCAGCATGGTCCCATCAATGATGTTAAAATTGTGGCAAGAGCTTAAGACAAGATAAAATTGTGGCCAGGGTCATCTTATAGTTGATGCTATGAAATACCATGACCCATTTCATACAGCGATGGCTAGTGGCGTAGTCAAGTTTTTTTCTTTAGTTTGGGGAGGGGCGGGGGTGGGGGGGGGGGGGAGGGCAGCAGCATTTTATGAGGGGGCACCGAGGGCGGACCCCACAACATTTCCCCAAAATTTTCAGGCCATCACAATTGCTGCAAATCCGAAGAGCGGAGGGGGTCGCTTCCTTGGCAAGCGCCAAATTTCTATAAAAAAAATTGGTGGGGGGGGCACCTTGAGGACACTGGTAATGTGTTTGCCCCCTCCCCCTCCTCCTTCCGGGTTACGCCTCTGCCGAGGGCATGAAATCGCCAGACTTACGGGCCGATGTAATCATAGTTCAAAGACTCTGTGTTTGGCTTTTACGCAAAGCACTATATACTCTTATTTCTGACAGGTTGCGTTTGGGATGGACCTGAACATAACTCTGGACGACAACTCTCCCTTTAGAAAAGCGGTGTCCACTATCTTTGCAGGTGCAGATTTAGAAAAAACTTACCCAACGACGGCGGTAAGTGAATGAAAAAAAAAATAAAAAAAAATAGCCATGAGCTCTATGGATGTGTCATTGTCAAACATTTGTTCTTAAGGTGCCATCTCATTTTTGTGTGCAGCATCCTCTGCAAAATGATTTGATTTACCTGCACTGAACAAATTTAACTTGAGGGCCGATAGCTCTAATAAGGGGGCCATAGTCTTATAATAGTTCAGGACCGATAGTCCTAGTTATCATTGCATGTTTTCTTTCTGTAGTGGTCCAAAATAAATTAGAGATCGCCATCCTAGATGGTTGTCAATTCTTTTGAAGGAAGAAAGGCAAGCGGTTCCGATCTACACACAGCCGTCAGCTGTCTAACGACCACAACCCAATTCCTTCTATCAAGGATCCCAAGCCAACCAAAATGAACAATAATATTGTATTTGTATAATATTTGTAAAGTAATGTACTTTGTATATATAATACACAATATTATTGTGTATTATATACAAAGTACATCAGATCTACGTGCAAGTTCCGTTCATGGAATGACCCAATTACCCCTGTAAGTACAGTTTAAACGTAATGAGTCAGTTTAAACGTAATGAGTGCAGCATATACAAAAAAAATTGTCATTTCACACATTTCCTCTTCTGATAAAAACATATCTTCACTGTTCAAGAACTGAAACTGCATGTTACAGATTAGTGGATCATGTTTTCTTTAAAAAAACCCACTTTCTGACGAAATTCATTCTCGCTTGGTTTTCGCACGAATAACATAACAGTTTTTATGGGGACGTTTATATCCTACTTTTAAAAACATCTTTTTGTTTGAACGCGTTTTGCGTCCCAATGGGGCGCATTCCAGGACGTTATGTCCCTTTAACTTCGGATATTACTGAAGGGATCACCACCATACATTATTAACTATGAAGTGTTACAGAATATCTCCGAAGAAACAGTTCTCAAGGTTGCGATAATACTGGCTCAATAAAAAGTCACTCTCTCGTTGTTTTCAGTTCAGCCCACTTCCGGCAGCTCGTAAAATGCGGAAAGACGTTCGAGACAGCATCAACTTTCTTCGGGAGACGGGCCGTCGGTGCATTGAGGAGAGACTAAAAGCCATGGAGAAGCAAGAGGAGGTGCCCAGTGACATTCTGACTCACATCTTGAAGGAAGTCGATGGCTTCAAGAAAGAGAGTGCCATCGATCTGGAAGGATTGATCGATGAGTTTATTACACTTTTCATCGCCGGTGAGAAGATGTTTCAAGTTCCTTTTTTTTTCATTGTATAAAATTGGTTTGAAAAAAAATCATTTTCGGTTTGCAAATTATCACAATAAACAAATCGTTCTCGTTAGAGATCCTCATGCTTCAAATAATCAGTGTTGAAGAGTGTAAATAAGTTGCTTCTTATTGATTTGCTGATTGGATATTTGATAGGTTCTTTACTTGATTGATGCCTACCACAGGTCAAGAGACAACTGCCAATCTTCTGGGCTTTGCTTTGCTAGAGCTTGGTCATCACCCAGAGGTCATGCATAGGTATTCACACCATTACATCTGTCGTTTACCGTTGATATCATTGTTTTGGTAAAAGCCTATAGTTATAGCTCATTGTATCGCGGCTAGGGCCAACAATCCTCACTATGCTAAATGACTCTCGTTTGAACTTGCTTTTGCAGACTGAAAACTGAAGTGGAGGCGGTCTTTGAAGACAAGGATCTTCTGGAGTATGCAGACATTAGTCAACTAACCTACATGATGCAGGTCAGCAGACGAAACTTAAATCACTTTAAAATTATGACTGCTGTTTCATCGTATGGATTTGGTTAACTGATGAAATCTATTTTATATTAAGATTTTGATTGATTCAGAATGCTTATGTTTTAATGGAGTTTTTATTCTTAAAGGAAAGATCGGGATAAGATGATGCGTTTCGAAGCTCATGCTTAACACTTGCTTCTCATCAAAGGGAACATTAGTACACTCATCACTGTCAAATTAAATCATGTTCCTACTTTCTGAAGAAAAGGACCGTATAAGGGTCACTTTTTTTTTTTTTTTTGGACAATGTCAGGAAACCAAACTGTTCTCATGGTATTAAGCCTTCAGTCTAATTTGTTTGAGTTTTGGAAGAATGTTTACGATCATTATTTTGTTTAGTTGAAATGTCTTACTCTCTTAACTAAGGTTTTGAAAGAAACCCTTCGCCTATGGCCGCCAGTGACAGGTAGCGCTAGGGGGTTGGCCTGTGACGTCGTAGTCAAAGGGTATAAATTGCCTAAAGGAACTATAGTGTCGGTGAGTTTCGTTCAAATTGGTATCGTCGCCTCATGTTGGTATTTCACAGAGTGTATATAAAACCATTATTTAAAAACAGATCGGTGAAATTATTATTGAATGGAAACCTCCCTGTCCACTACCTATGATTTACAGGTTTTGAAATCTCTGAAGAATGAACTTTTGGGGATTGACTTACAGGTTTTTCCCCAGCTTTTTTTATTGAGTAGACAATATAATTATATGCTGTTGTAATCGTTTGAATAACAAACATTACCTGTACCGTTGATGTTCTCTCACGTCAAATTGAAATAACTTCTTATCATTTCTATCTAAAGGTGAGTTCGTACGTAATGGCAAGAATGGAGGAATATTTCCACGATCCGTTGCAGTTTGAGCCCGACCGTTTCAAGGCCAGTGATGACAAGTAAGTAATTCTGCCTTTACTTTTTTTGTCTTTATATTAAAAAAAAAAGAAAAAGGTTTCAATGTTAAGGGTCCATCAACTGTTTAATTTTTTTAATATGATTATTGTAACGGACCTATGCGACCTTATTTACCTTCAGTATTCGTGAAACCAATGAGCAGGAGACGTGAGTTGTTGAGTACGGTAATATAACTACTGATCACGAAAAATGGTTCCCTGAACAAGGCTCCTTGGCCCAATATTATGCAACAGTATTGTAAGAGAATTTTACGATAAAAAGTGGTCGCCAGGCTTGACTGGAACTCGAGTTTCTAGACTTGTCTCAAGTCGGATTAAAGCCTGTTAAAGCCTATTAATCCTAAAAGATGACTTTTGGCTCGTTAATGGATGACTCACCCTTGCTCCCCGACCAGCTAACTGGCTGGTTTGCTTATCTACTGTTTGAGTTGTTTATATATATTTGATGTATGTTCCCCTTCCTGCAGATCGCATTATGCGTACTTTCCGTTCTCGCTGGGTAGTCGTAACTGCATCGGCCAGCAGTTTGCATTAGTAAGTGAAATATGCTGGTATAAATAACGTACTTAGATTTTACAATTAAATCATGGACTAATAAATCAGATCGTAGCATATGTGCATATTATGCATATTTTTTATTATCGGTCATTTTTATTGGCGGGTAAAACCTTCGTGAAAAGGGCACTCGCACATCCGTGCTCAAAAAGTCAAATGTAGACAGTGGGTTTTTTTTTCTCCGGACACTTGGCCTCCGTAAAATCAAATGTTGGGGGTGGGCGGGACGGGGAGTGGGGGGTCCAGGTACCATCTTCCAATGGGGCGCTGTTCATACTGGACGACCATGCACACTATCGGAAAATAAATCGCGCTTTTCAGGGAGGCACAGTTGCCGACGGTCACGCGAAATTACAAAAAGGGCACTCGTACAAGGCCGCTGGTAAAAAAAAAGAGGCACTTTTTTATAAAAAAAGGGGGTTGTTAAAAAAAGAGGATTGTTTTTACAAAAAGGGCACTTCACAAATATTGGGATATTGAAGGGGGTGTTAAAGGTTGGTTAAAAAGGACACTTGAATGGAAAAGGGTAGTCTTTACAAAATATTGGGGGACCCCCCACCCCCCCCCCCTCCCCCTGCTGGCTACGCCTCTACATATACATGTACATGTACAAGTAAATGTGTTGTCTCAAGGTCTACAATGAACAGACATTTTTATAAACAACTTTCCTTCCATGGAGTTTGACATCATGTCCAGAAATTACAAACAATTGGAGAAATACTAAGTTGTCAGACTCATTAATGTATCCCTTTCTTACAAACCAACTGTTTCAATTCTGCTATTTAGACATTATTTTGAGAGAGTTCACTGAGGAATCGTGTAAAGCTTACCCGAAAGTGCCGCTGTGCATCTTCATAAAGAAAATGTTGTGCCTTGGCAATCAATACAATATTGTTTCTTTTCTCAGATCGAGGCTCGTGTTCTGCTGGCCAAACTACTGCACAGGTTCGAATTCAACCTTGTCCCAGGACAAGGTCACGGGGTACTTGATGAGATCACACTGAAGCCTGCGGGGAGATGCAGAAACTACTTGACACCTGTGGAATAGGAGTTTTACATTGCAACCAATTTTGTTTTCATCAGCAGGCTCAAAATGCCCTGGCCCCGATGGGTCAGTGGGTTTCTTGAGGTAGGGCCGTCCTGTAAGCTGATTGGCCACAGAGATAAAGTAGAAAGATTGCAGGTAACACCATGTGGAAAGTAATCTCTTCTTGGAAGAAGTGTGGTTCTGAAAAGAACCGGTGAGTTCTACACTCAACCAACCGGTTCTTTTCAGAACCACACTTCTTCCAAGAAGAGATTACTTTCCACATGGTGTTACCCGCAATCTTTCTACTCTAAATGAAAGCTTCTTAACTTATCCTACATAGATAAATATCCTAGATGTGGCAAGTGCTACAAGCAGAATTTCTATTAAAAAAAAATAGGGGGGTACTGTTGTTTTCTTTTTTATTTACTCACCTTTTATATAACAGTCGTTCAAAAATGTTTTTTTTGGGGGGCTGCGATTATTCTCACTGCTATGCTTACTTCTGAAGTCCGTTATTACGTTGAATTATTTCATCTGTTTACTTGGATCTTGAGTTGCATTTGTGTTATAAAAAAATGAGGACTTCCAAGTGTTCTGTCATCTTAGCCCGTGTTGGGAGCATGCATTTCAGTTAATGATAGTTAATAATTATAACTTCAGTTTCTTTAGTTAATAATCTTACAGTTAGTAATCAACCTGCAATTGATTTCCTTACTGCTGTACTATAAACGTTGGCATTGCTATTCTGTCTCTTAGTTGCGGACCTCACATGCGCTTATTTGCTATTATGTCATTTGACTCTTTAGACTTATGTATCTTAATTAAATTTTGATGTATCTTTAGTGATTTCCCTTGTTTAGCTTGTTCAAGATTACATGCACCAACCTGTTTACCGAGTTAAAATAAAAACGGAACTGCCCTTTGCAAGCCAAGAAAAGCTGTGTCGTAATTAGAAAAGGAATTTGGGAAAACTGTTGTATGTCTATGGGCAAAGAAGGGGTTGCTAGCACTATTATTTTTGGGGTCGCCGTAATGTTACGGTTTTTCCTCAACGGTGATTATCGAGGGGCAATTCTAACAGTAAGAAAGAAAAAAAGCCAATTCCGGTGATGTAAATATTTTACACACGAAAAGAAATATTTCAATGAACACTTGACAATAATTGCAGTGAATAGTGAAAGTATGTGATTGGTTTATTATAGCAAGATTGCTCCCTCCTCAACTTTGCAGAAACTTAACACCCAGTCAACCAATTTCCACTTCAAATCATGTTATTGCCCTTTTAAAGTTAAATGTCAACATATGGCAAAATTGATTCGAAATTTTCCCAAGCCACGGGCCCAATGTGGCTCTATTGCCCTTTCAAGCACTTGATAATAATCGATATCACAAATTGCCCAACCCCGAGGTCTCATGCAAATTCTTTCATGAAGTGGTCTCCTTTCTTAGAATATGCACAATATAGCGTCTCGATAACGCAGTTTCCAGTCAAGTCGGTTCTGGGCAGGTCTCCAACCGGCTGGCCCCAGTGCCCTGAGATCTTCCTCCAAGTTATCCGTCCAACGCAAACAGGGGCGACCCCTTGGACGGGGCACGTTGAGGGGAGGCTCCTTCAGCAGAAGAGCAGGCTCCATCGGGGGGTCGGCTCGAGCAATATGCCCAAACACCCGAAGAAGCGTGAAGCACGAATGAGATGCGAGGCCGGGGGTTGGTTGGTGAGAAGACGGAGGTCTGTGTTACTCATAAAATCCTGCCAGTTCATACCCTCGATATGGCGGAGGGCTCCAGTGACGGGGGGAGGGCTAGGGCGGGCCTTAACCCCCCCAAACATTTAGTCTAGCCCCCCCCCCCAAAAAAAAAAATTCCATAAAAAAAATTGCACTAGCAAAATGTAAGAATTTGACGTACATGGGAACGGTCTCCCCTAAATGAGAAGGGTGCATTTGTACACTTTTAGTTAATATCGTGTGCCTGATTGTAGGATTTTATCAGCGCTCACCATTGAAAATATTGAATCAGCCCCCCCCCCCCCCACACCCCATGTATTGATTTTCAGAGGCTTAAGTGTCCGGAGAAAATAACCGGTCTACTTTCAGCACGCCTTCCTCAAAACAAATCTAACCTTGCTAGCCCCCCCCCCCCAAAAAAATATAGTGGCTCTAGAACCGCGCCTGTCCAGCTCGATCGGTGAAGAGGGTCCATGACTCTGAGCAATACAACATGATGGACAGGACCAGGCTATAGTATGCAGGCTGAGCTTTGTTCTTCTTGAGAGACAGCGTTCCTTCCAGATGGTATTTTGGCGGGATTGAGCAGATGTGGCGGGGGGGGGGGGGGGGGGTTAGGGGATGTTCCCCCCCCCCCCCCACCCAATATTTTGTTAATTTGAGCCCTTTTTTCAACAAGTGCCCTTTTCTCTGAACAAGTGCCCTTTTTAAACAGAAGTAATTCCCTTTTTTTGTGCCATCGGCTGTTCCGGGTGTTTTTTTTCCTTTTAATTTTACGCATGTATCCCCCTAAAATACACCATTGTATGTTTCTAGTGTGAATCATCGTCGATTTTGAACAGCGCGCCCCAATCGACAGATGGGGCCATGCGGCTCCCCCCCCCCCCCCCCCCCCCCACACACACACCCAAACGTGTGTTAGACGTCGGTCGTGGACGTCCTATATTGCCCCTCAGTTTGTTTGTACTCTATCTTTTTAGGAAGACTCCCATAGGTTTCGTACACAACCCCAATCGCGGACGTATGATGGGAATCGTGGACGATATTGTTCTCTTTTGTTCTCTGGTATTTTTCGTCCACGGTTTGAAAATATGAACACGTACACCCATATTTATGGTGTAAATCGAGGATTTCCTTTTGTTCCTCTTCCCTTTTCCTTTTTTCTCAACTTTTTCGGAACAGCTCTCACTCGTTTTGTACACGTTTTCTTATCGAGGTCCGCGTCCTCGATTTGGTTCCTGTAATCGATTCACCGATGATGTTGCCTGTCCTCGATTTACCCCATAAACAAACGCACATCGACACTATTTGATTTTACGGAGGCCAAGTGTCCGGAGAATAAAATCGTGTCTCTACATATTTTCACCGTGGATGTGCGAGTGCCTTTTGCAAGAAATTTTTAACCCCGACCACTAACAATGACCTTGCTACGCCACTGCATCGATCATCGGGCCATGCCCGCCTTTTACCAAAATGATTTACATAACAGTTGCATACTATTGCGGTCAAGGTTCAGTTCATTCAAAGGGGGATTATGTCAACACAATATTACTGTGTGCAGCGCTGCAGCCAATAGTCGAATGCATACTAGACAAAATGGCCGTCCTGTCACTGACAACCTGTTTGATGTTGGTCGTTATTACGCTGGTGGCTTGCATTGGTTTGCTGCTTGCTGCGTTTGTTCTATTCGTCCATTATCAACACCTCAAATATGCCCACATTCCATCGCCACCCAGACGAGGGTAAGTGCAAACCAATACCATTTTACTTCAACTTCAACGGGTGGCAGGGCTTAAGCCGCGAGCGAATTTTATGGGGGTATAACATTTTGGCAAATTTCGAAAATTCTCCCTTCCTTGGGAATTGTGTATGTGATGAAGGGCAGGGATTCCAAACCACTGAGTTCATGTTTGTTGCAATTAGTTCAAGGTCTGTTAAAAGAGGGAGGCTGATGCAATGTACCGCAGTCAACTACATGCACTTATAAATAACATTGAATCATAAGCGTCGATCCACATATATATTCTCTGAGTTACAAATGTAGAAGAAACCTCCGTTTAAAAATTTTAAATTTTAGAACACGCGAAACTGGCTAATTTTGTTTTCTTTGTATTGCAGATTCTTTAACGGTCATATGGACTTAATATCTTCCTATAAAAAGAGGAATATGGCAATCGCAGAAGCATTTGCTGACATGTAAGTACGCTTATGCACTCTTTCTGAAAAAAGTAGCTTGTTTGTTCAAAAGATGTTCAAGCTAATTCGTACAGCTTGCAAAAAAAACCTGACCAATTCAGCCATAGAATTCCCAGAGCCGACTAATTCTGCATAGAATTCCTGCGAAGTTATTTCCTCGGGTTAAAGTACTACTCTCAATAGACCTTTAAGTTACGCCATCTTGAATATAATAGCTCCGCAAATAATCCAAACAAACATGGCGGCCTATTGTGTATATACGGTGAACGAGTGACTTTATATTACTCACAAAGTAACACTTATAGCTCGAAATTACCCGAAACATCGATCTTCTTTCTAGGTCATGTCATGTATAAATAGCAAGTCTTGATTGTTTCTCACACATAAAGCCGCCATGTTTGCACGGATTCATTTTGTCTCGCTACGGTTTTTCAAGGTGGCGTAGCCTGATGCAGGGTACACCCAAGCGAATACGTTCCCAAAGACATCGGTTGGATTGAGCTTGTCTTACATACGCAGTGTGGACTTCCGAACAAAAGACGTCCACATAATGTAGGTAGCACCGACGTTGTGTGGACTTGCCCCACGTCCACACAGTGTTTCCCCATTTCTGGAAAACAGGTTTAGAGGCATTTTTGGGTTAGGTTTATCTGTAGCAGAATGAAGAGAAACACTAAAGGGAATCATAGAAAAAAAATTGGGTTGAAAGCGTTTTCACAGTTTGAGAAAAATGAGTTTTTTCACTGGTTTTTCTTAACTACACGAAAGCAATGGAAAGTCCACACTAGTCATGTGAAACAAGTATGGGTGTGTCAACCAGTTTAAGTGGCTCAACAATCACGGAGGATACAAGATCTGTAGCTGAAATCAAAATAAGGAGTGCAACTGCCACCTCAGCCTTAGCCAAATTGAAACCGATCTGGCGTGATAAGAACATTGGCATCAAGAATGCAGCTACTGCGGGCCCTGATAACATCTATCTTCTTGTATGATTGTGAGACCTGGACAGTACTGAACAGCAGAGATGGAGAAGAGAATCAACGCCTTTGAGATGAATTGTACACGGAAATTGCTCCAGCTTCATTACTCAACCACACCACTAACGTGAGCGTGAGCTAATGGACAGCTACATTGGTAAACAAGACAGATTATTCACAATTGTCTAAAAGAGAAAACTGCACTGGTTTGGACAAATGGTAAGATGGAAGGGAGTCTCGCAAACACGATCCTGGAGGGTGGGACAGATGGTAGCCGCAAAAGGGGAAGACAGCTGAAATTGTGGGTAGACAACATCAAGGAGTGGACTGGTCTTAATTGGGCACAACTTCTCAGAGCAGCAGAAGACTGAAACAAATGGAGTAACTGTGTGACAAATGCCATCATAACGTCGCCCTTACTGCCGGCCGTAACGCTATGGGACAGAAGGAAGGAAGGAAGACATCTGTGTTAAATCCCCGGCCCATACTTCAAAATTCTTTTTAAAATACTCAAAAAACTCTCACAGGCATTCAGGGTGCACAGAAAAATGATGATCAACATGCCATCATTCATTTTCTGTTAAATTTTTGGTGGGTTGACCGATGACATTTCGGGAAATTCTTACCCAAAGAAAACGACCCCTAAATGAGTGATGTTTTCCAAGTGGAAACGCAGCAATCTAAAAAAAAAAAAACTCTCCTTAAGGTCAAAAAAAAAATTAAATCGGTCTCTGGTCAGCGCGCGCGTCGATTTTAATCATGCGCGTCGATCTTTTTTTTTTCCAAAATGTTCCGCGGTAGCTCCAACAGCGCCCTCTATTTCCGCAGCTCCTCAATTTTTTTTTACCAAAGAGCACCAAGGAATGGGAAATTGCACCAAGGCAAATGATCGAAAGTACCAAGGCAAATTATGGAGAACACCAATGTACATGAGGACACCAAAAAAGCAAAATAGTACCCACCTTGTCTGTACACTCCAAGCTTGAAGAAAACAAAAAAAAGCAAAAAACAAAAAACAAAAAGCCGCGTGGCCGCGTCAATTCCGGAACTTTGGTCTGACCAGAGACCGAATTTTTTAGGGGGCCTAACATGGCTAAATAGTGCCACTTTCTGGTTCCCTTGCATTCAAAATACTCGAAATTGGAATACACAAGTCAGGCCAGAGGTTCGTTGCCATATCTATTCAATGTTCCACTTCCATATGGCTCTCAGACTCCCTAATATAGAATAATTCTAGTGTTTAACGTTTACTCATGGGCAAGGCGGACGGGTTTTGCCTATTTACTGGGTTGCATCCATCAAGGTCGATCATGGTGGTGACACTATTCCATCCCCGGCCCTTCTTAGCAGGGCACCCTCCTTCGGCTCGCCTTCACTCTACCTCCATGATGGCATAGACAAAATCTGCATAGGTAATCTGCTGAAAAGCATAATCAGATTTGTTGTATGAGCTCAGTTTTTAAACTATTACTTCAGGGACTAAAGGACCCCGTGTCTGGGTTCCAGACTTGAAATTAAAGGTTTCCTCTGCATGGGACACAACATTCTGTGGGATACTAGTATATCCTAGTGGGGACACTAGAGGCTAGGGGAAACTGTCCGGGGCACAATATCCAGGCAAAACCAGGAATATCATCCGGGGGACGGAATATCCTGAGAGGCCATGAGCATCTCCTTCCGCACCGGCTTTAAAAACGAGTATTTTACATTTGATTGATTTCTGTGCATAATAATTTGATCAATTATTGTGTTCACTGAAGTAGAATCCATCTTTTCTTCTCGCTTGAACTTCCTGCTCGACTTGCGCCGACAGCTGTGGCATGCGCGTCACGGTTGTCAACTGGACTTGGTCGTAAAGCAAATGCAGCTGCCATGTTGCTGCAAGGGGCGCTATATAGTTTAACATTATGCATACTTTAATAATAATACCGGAGTCCTATGGCGCACGTATATCTACCAACAATTAAGTACTGAAGGCGTTGGAAATTATGTATATTATTTGAGACAGGTAAATGAAGTTTATGAGAAATAATTATGTGACCCATTATGTAGCACCCTACAAGGGTATAAAAAGTGTTGTGGAGCATATTGCAGCCACTGCCAGAAAACACAGGGGCAAACACTTCTTTTAGCGATGAAGGTTACTTGGTACTTTAGCATGCATTACACAACACATGGCTTTACTTCCATCCGAAGTGCCTTGCTCAAGAGAGCAAACACCATGTGCCCACAGTCAGGATTCGAACCCATATACCACGGTACACGAGTCGAAAACCGTAACCATTGGACCACAGCACCCCACACTTTGATCTTATATTTAACAAACGAGTTGGCAGGCTAGACTAAACAAAACTTGACTAAAATTCACATCCATCTCAAGGTAGAAAGTAAAGATACCACCTCAGTTTAATACAAAAACATAAATTATTGAACAAATAAAGAAACAAATATACCAATTTTCGTGGAGTACAGAAAAAGCAGCCGCTCTTCAAGAAAATCAGTTTTACCGCTTGAATCCCACTTTGTATTTTCTTTCCAAAAGAAACCAAAAACTAACAAATGGAAAAGACTTGCAATGTATATATTTCTGTTTTGATTTAGCATGCGAGAGTGTGGTCCAGTGTTTCACATCTTTTTCTACTTCAGCCCGATGGTGGTGGTTCTTGAGTCCGATTTCGTAAAGGTGAGTTCTTAATTGACAGTAAGAACATCCAATACCTGAATGAACACAATTTTATTTTTGTGAAAGCTCTGCGTAGAATATGAGTAGGTAATAACAAAAACAAATTGGACGGTTAAGTACTAATGAGTGCGTTCGATTACGTCTTTCAGCTTACTCACGCCTGGCTCCCCGCGTGATGACAGAAATGCGCAATGGAGCTAAATAAACGAACGGTTTCGGGTAAAGTTTCGTGCAAGAACTGGAAAGTTGAACTTTGACATGACACACGCTGCATCCAAATCAACTGTCTAGAGCTAGGTCTAGGTCCACGCCCATTGAAAATACGCGGGGCGCGCTGACAATAGACGTAGCCGTAGCTCTGGAAGCGGGTTTCGGACACGGCCTGAGGCGCCCGCCGGACGTCACGTTTTAGCAGCCATGTTTATTGCATGTCCCTAGTGACTTACCCAAGTATTAACCGGCTCGGCGAGTCGGTTACTTGGGCCAGGCTCGAGTAAGCGCGAGAAGTCACGTGAGAGGTAAATTGAACGCTGTCGCGCTTGCGCGAGTAAGCGCGGGGGAAGTAATCAAACGCACTCTAATAGTTGAGGGTCAAAGCATCGTTAAATAAACTAAAATTGTATTCGCAAAGTATAATACAGTTTTATATAAGTTAATTTGTTTCCACCTTCTAGGACATTCTGTGCACGTCCACACATCAGAAGCCGTCCTCTATTTATAGGATTTTCGTCCGGGTTTTTGGGACGAGATTCCTTGGCTCGGGGATTGCAGCAGATACCAACCCTGTCACCCACGATGCCAAAAGAGCACTCCTCAACCCTGCATTCCACAGAAAGTAAATCTGATGTAAATTATTTGTATTATTTGCGACGTGATTATGGAAATTTTCTGATGACAGACAAGGTGTTGCTGGTGATAACCGTTTTAAAGTGAATTTTCAAATCGTTTTAGCGAATTTCAAACATCATATTATTCCTAAAAGCTTTAGATTGAAACATTGCAAAATGCAATTTGTATTATTTAGGAGCATCCCTTTACTTTATGTATAGCACATTGTATAACACATAATAAAATATTGTATTCGACAATTTCTATAAATATTCCCTTTTTTTCAGCGGAGAAAAGATGAACTTTCTCTTTACGCATTGGTTTCGTGACTTCCAAGGTTTAATGTGTTTATCCAGATACCTTCAGGGTATGATGCGGCAGTTCAATGCAGGAGCCGATGTCTTGATTGACAAGCTGAGCCACAAGGCTGATGGTAAGACGAAGGTCGCCATGTTGGATGAGTTCAACAGAACCACTCTGGATGTCATTGCTAAGGTAAAACTGTTTCACAGATCCTCGCTGTGGTGGTCTTACTCGTGTATGTCTCAAGACGGTGCCTTGGCAAACCGACATTATACTTACAATTTTGACCTTGCGCAAGATGGCGATTGATTTTTCAAGACGCTTCCAAATCCGGTTCGTAAGTGCGACGTCATTTCAACTTAAAACACGCCGGCTACACACGGGGTAGCACTCGAAACCACTAGGAGGGGAAGAAGTACAAAATGGCATTTTGCAGCAAATGGGCGCTAGTGCGTGCACGTGTATATGTAGTCACTTACAAACCAGATAGGCCCATTAATCAACACAAATTGTGGGTAATCAGATTCCTCCAAGGTACAGTCAGACAACCTTCAGGTTACCGTCTCTACCTTGGGCTACATACAAGGCATGCCTTAGCTGCTGCCACCGAGTAGGACATGAAGCAACTCATGGCCTACCCAGTCCTCACTCTTACAAACAATATCCCCATTAATTAAGGGCATTAATGGAAATTCTCTTCCAAAAAATCCTCGACATTTCGTTCATAATTATAGGTACACAACGCTCGCCATATTTTGGTAGCCGAAAAAAGGCACCTAATGCTAACACCTTTTCCTACCAATGAACAAGCCATGAATATTCAGTGCGTGGGAAAGCGTCACACTACGCAGATAGTCTGATTGGCTAACAACAGGGTGTCAAATTTAGTTGTGGGGACTTGATTTGCCAAGGTAGTCTGATACTTAGTAAGACGAACCTCGCTAGCGAGCATGGTTTGTATGGGAAATACGAGTTTTCGTTGTTTCAAGTACTGTAGACTCATCAACACGTTGTCTTTGTCGCCAGGTTGCTTTCGGGATGGATCTCAAGGCCACACGTGATGATAAGTCGATATTCAACCAAGCGATTACGATGAGCTTCAGGGGATTGGCCGTCGCTATGACTTCCCCTATGACCGAGGTATAGGCCGAAGATTTGCAAACCCGACCCGAAACCAAAACCAACCCGACCGTAAAATGTCACTGTCACACATACTAGCTATTCGAGCTCAATCTCGAAAGGGTGTGAATACTAATTGCTTTTCAAGGCAATGATACATTTCCACCATGCACCCATGCACTCAGTGCACAAGGCGGATCCAGAACAAAATTTGTTTTGGGGTTTTTTTTCGGGGGGGGGGGGTCCAAAAAAAAATACGGTGTGTGGTTCGGGGCCCGCTTAATAAAGGATTCTAGATGCTCTGTGGTGCGAACTGAGGGAATTTCTGACCATTTTTACCAATGTTTTTTTTTTGGAAAAGATGGTGGTGTACTCATTGCCTGCTTTTATTGCGAAGTCACACACACACACAAACACACCCACACACAAATTGATTGTTTTTTTTTGGGGGGGGGGCATGGCCCCCTTTGCCCCCCCCCCCGGATCCGCCCTTGTCAGTGCAGGAGTGCGAGAAGCTAATGTCTTCTGCTTGAATCCTGACCGAAGCAGTCGGGAGATTTAGCGCTTTTAATTAGTTATTAATGCATGTATTTTATCATTTTTATTTTGCTAATTTATACTTTCTGTAGTTGTTTCGCAACTGCCTAAATTTGACTTCATCGGTTCCTTGACACCTTTGCCAATCGGTTGCAGATCAATCCATTTCCAGCTGCCAGGAAAATTAAGAACGAAGTCCGGGAAAGCATCAGGTTCCTTCGGGAGACAGGACGTCGATGCATCGAGGAGAGACTACGAGCCATTGAGAAACAGGAGGAGGTGCCCAACGACATACTGACGCACATCCTGAAAGAAATTGACCAGTTGAAGGGGGACGGGCAATTCGATATGGAAGGTTTGGTGGATGAGTTTCTAACGTTCTTCATCGCAGGTATGCATTCTATGCAGTCCATTTTGCTTATGTTGGTGTTTATCAAACCAATTATTCTTGAAGTCAAATTCTGATTTAAAAGGTTTTCTCTTATACATACATGTATTGTAATCTCGTTTTTTGGACAAACGTCTCTCCAACGCCCTTTCATATTTCACATTTCACATGAAAGCTTTGGCAGCCATTGTTGTGGATCTCGGTGTAATGCAATGCTGATTAAATTCAAGTACTATTGAATTTGATTTAAATATCAGGTCAAGAGACAACTGCCAATCTCCTTAGCTTCACTTTGTTGGAACTTGGTCATCACCCTGAGATCATGCACAGGTATATAACATTTGATTTACGACACACATGGCATTAATGTGGGAGTTTGGTAGAAACATAACACAGGCCTTTCACACCGTTGTCTGTTGAACAACACGGTTCAATAGTGCGGAGGTTCATTAATCCGAAAGCACACTATAGTCCGAATTGACAATAATGTCCAATGCTGTCAATTCGGACAGTTGAACCTTATTGTCAATTCGGAATATCGAACTTCATCGTCTATTTGGACTATCGAACCTTCGGATTATATTCAACCTTATTCTATTTTCGGACGAATGGGCCCTTCGGACTATCAAACTTTCGGACAATCGAGCGGTCACCAAAGTAGGACTTGACCTTTCTTCCAGTTTCCGAAAATGACCGATGTTTGCGGAACGTGTAAAATGACTTTTTGAATTCCACGGCATTTTGTTGTCGTGTTACAAACAAGTACATGTTTTATCGCAGGTCGACCTGTAAAACTAACGGGTAACCTGTTTGTGTTGCAGGCTGAAGACTGAAGTGGAGGCCGTTTTGGGGGACAAGGAATATCTGGAGTACACTGACATCAGTCAACTCACGTATATGATGCAGGTGAGATACAGTGTGGTTTGTTGTTCATGGAACGCCAAAGGCGTCTTCAATAGTTCACTCGCTTCGTCAGATCCATCACTTAGTTCGGCAAACTGATTCTATTCGGAGCAGATAATGTTACTTTTGGCGTTTTGACAAAATAATATCGTATAATAAATCTTACTTTGTTTAATATAGGACTGTACAAGCTTGACTTTTGCCACCAAAATCAAGTTACTTTGTTATGTTTACAGTACGTAAGCCACACGCTTATAGTTTCTTTTTAGTGTCTGTAGATGAAGAGTGCCTGGTCCTTCGGAAGTAATTTTCTAGTCGATGTGTAGACGATTTGTTTTTCAACTTAGCTTGAGGGTGCGTCAATCTATCATGGGCAAACACCACAGATTTGCAATAAACTTCACATTAAGTTCCAAGAATACCTTGTCATGGAAAAATAATACCGATTCACATTTACTAAAGTTCACTTCCAATTTTACAAAGGTGTTCAAAGAGGTCCTTCGGCTGTGGCCACCAGTAACCGGGACTATGAGGGAGATGGCTGGTGACGTCAATGTCAAAGGTTACAAGATACCTAAAGGAAGCATGGTTATGGTAAGTACATGAAACTGTCTTTGTTCAAACTGTTGTAGATTTCCTAGAAAGTCTTCACTGAACAGTATTGTTTATGATTGCTTCTTTGTATTTATGTATACTTCAAAACCACATCATTAATAATTAAACGTGGGTTTTCTTCCACATTTAAGTCTCAATTGCTTGTATGCGTGGACGAAATCTGTCTTGCTAACTCATGGCACATTACACATGAAGTCGTGTGTTATGTTTGATCGCAGTTATCATCTCAAAGTTGTTTCCTTTTCTTTTTTTCTTTTTTGTGCCGGAACCTTTAAAGACAAGCAAAAAGTTTTTGCTGCTCGACAGAAGAGCCTGAACAACAATTGAGCAGTATTTTGATTTATTTAAACCTTCATACTAAAAAGAATACTCTATTGATAAGCTCGGTTTTTTGTATCAACACTGTTTGCATCAGGTCAACACCTACGTTATGGCAAGAATGGAGGAGTATTTTCACGACCCATTGCAGTTTGATCCCGATCGCTTCAAGGCCAGTGATGACAAGTAAGTACCTTGTATGCGTCATAAATAACAAGGCCGTTAATATTTTATCGTGGTAAGGGTCCTAAATAATATAAGAGGCCTATGCCGAACTGGATACTAGGCCCTTTCAAGTTAATTCATTATGCAAGTGTCAGAAACGAATTTAATTTAGTAATTTTATTTATTACAGATTTGCTGGTCAGGGACCATCAAGGAAAAGATGGGAAAATCCCATCAAATATCCATCCCTATAAAAATCCAGCTTTATTTCGAAGTCTAATTATTCTAAGATGTAAACTGTGCCGAATTGCTCCGATGGGCAATGACGTCTCTGAATTGTGCATACTGCAAGTCGGTCCCCACTCCCCAATGATGAATAACAATAATTATTATTTTGTTTCGCAGACCACAATATGCATATTTTCCCTTTTCACTGGGACGCCATAACTGCATTGGCCAGCAGTTTGCATTGGTGAGTATTCGGATGATGAATTACGAGTCTCAACGGAGAATTTCAACAGTGCAGCATTAGATAACTCTAATATCAGTTAACAGATTTGGTTTTTGTCTCTCCATGATTTCTTTGAAGGGTTGTTGAGGCTATTCACACCCATCTGTTGGTTTCTCTTTAAAAGAAAACGAAATCAATTCTCCTGAAACATATTTTTTTAAACTGCCAATGTTAGGGGGCGGGTCGCAATTGTATGTACCATACGGCATTAATGAATAAAAAGTGGTATTACCACTTTGTAAGTGATGTTTCGATCTAATATGTCTTTCATTTCGGGCGTATCATCGAATAAATAAGAAGAGAAAACAGTACATATCATCCTGCGACACAAACCCTTTGTGGGAATGAGAATAAACATATGGCACAAACTCTAGCATCACAGATATTATCGTATGTCGTATTTTTTATAATAAAGACATTTTTGTCTGTTAATATTTGTCTGATTTTTCCTACAGATCGAGGCTCGAGTTTTATTGGCCAGATTGCTTCACAAGTTCAACTTTGACCTGGTGCCCGGACAAGCTCACGAGATACTAGACGAGGTCACTCTGAAACCGATGGGCAGATGCAGGAACTACTTACGACTTGCGGAATAGAACTTTCGGAGCTCAAAAACAGTCGCATATCTCACAGTTATAACAATGACTCAACATAAGAATACGTAACGTTTTATAGTGATATATTAGGTTTGAGGAAGAATTTGTACTGAGACCGGAGCTTGAATTTGAATCAGTAGTCTGTAGTTTAATAAATATTGTTAGACCAAACATCACAGTGCGGCAAGCACCACTAGCACGTACTTTAGAAGTATATTTCATAAGTTCCATTAAGTACTCTTAAGGTTTGGTAATTTTTAAGCTGTGATTTTATACTATTTCACGTTGATAACCGGTAAAGGATTTTTCTGTATAATCGCATTTTGTTTTTAGTTCAAGAAGGGTAGTAAATAAAGAAGCATAGGTTATATTCCTTTATGGTTGTTTTTAATGGTTGAATAACTGTCCAAACTATATTAGACGTGGTGATATTTAAAACCAGTTTCGGTCTCTATTAGCTAAACAATCCGTATGTTGTCAAGACATGACTTGCACTGGACGATCCCTCCGTAGTACCGTTTGTGGTGGTTAGGTGGGTAAAGTTACAGTCTAGCCTAGTATCTACAAGATTGCACCTTTTTTGTCGCCACAACAGTGAATTTATCCACTGTTATCAAAACTTTAAGGTGCATATTTTAAGTCCTAAATGTACAGAACTTTATGTCCGATTGGGTTGAATCTTAGTATGTTGGTAGACCGGGATGTGTTATAGGTTAAATTACGTCATGATGACGTCGTCGTAGGACATCTGACCCCATCTGAAACGTACATGATATTTTCAAGTCCTATATGCAGAGAAATGCGAGTGCGATTGGGTTCAAACTTGGTATGTATAGTAGACCGGAATGTGGATTAGGTAAAAGGTGACGTCAGGATATACTATCACCGTGTGTGTTTTTTAATGATTTTTAAATTTTAGAACTTTACAGTCATGTCTCACAAACAGAACATGCTAAATTCAATATTATTTTGGTAATAGGTCTGCTATTTGCACAAAAAGAATAAGTCCCATCCTCCTTGAAACTTGGTGTGTTAATAGATACTGCTACTAGTATGTAAAATTGGAAGTGACGTCATGATGATGTCATCAATTAATTCTTATATGTATTTTCAATTGGTATAATTTGTTCAGCTCTCATAATTAGGCATAAAATAATATTGGATTGACTTTAAACTATGCAAAGACAAATACTCCACACCAAAGTTGGTTCTAGACAAGTGACGTCATGATGACCTAAACATGGGTCATGTGATGTCATCTTAAAAGTGCATGTTTTTTAGATTTTATATAGTGTACTGATAGTCAGATTGGATTAATTTGTAATACGTACCTAGATACGGGTGTGTTATAATAAATATACGGGTGTGTTATTATAAATGTTAATGACATAATGACTTAACGATGTGAATTGATGATTTGTTTATTTTTAAACCTAAGACATATCTCAAAACCAGATCATCCTAAATTCAAAGTAAGGTTGTTAATACGTTAGGTGATAAATATTTGCACGAAGAATGACAAATGTGTATCGTCGTGATGACTTCATCAAAACAAAATTCACTATTTGAAAACACGTGTAAGGGATGGGTTGAATCGTCATAAAACTCGGTGGGTAGAAAATGGTTCTAGTATAAGATTTTATTTAGAGAGCATTGTCCTACTTGTATATAGAGAACTGCACAACTTAACAACTAAATAAGTTTATATAAGTCATGGAACTTTGTTCATACATATAATTGAACATCAAACTGACTGCACATGGGCACAAAATAATCAACTCTTTAAAACTCGTAATGCGGAAAAGCCCTGTGTTCTGTTCATCAAATAGATCGATATACATCTAGTTTGTAACTTGTGCTTAATGTTAGCTTTCTTAGGTTGGGGTTTCTGCAAAGTTGCGGAAAAGCTTTGTTTTTATTCCCACATTGTTTCTCTTCTTCCTCCTCTTTTTGTTCTATCCGAAATCCCGCACTTTCTTTGGCTTTTTTACCCATCCACTTTCGGCATTCATGTTTGTCAGACGGATCCAATTATGGCAGACTGTGATATTTTTTTTTTTTTCACTACAAGTAACTTCTTAGAGGCTGCTATAATTATCATCTGAATTTTGGGAGGGTCAAAAGTCTGTTCGTACTGTTTTTCGTACTATTTACGGATCACTTGCATATTTCGTCGGTCAAGGTTTAAGATTGTTTGGTAGAGCGAGTCATGCAATGGAGTACCATGGGTCGACACGATATTATTGTGTACAGGGCTGCAGTCACAATCTCTGTCTAGTCCCATGCATATACAATTCAAAATGGCCGTTCTATCACTGACAACCTGTTTGATGTTGGTCGTTGTTACGCTGTTGGCTTGTATTGGTTTGCTGCTTGCTGCGTTTGTTCTATTCGTCCATTATCAACACCTGAAATATGCCCACATTCCATCGCCACCCAGACGAGGGTAAGTGCAAACCAATATCATTTATATAGTAGGCTACACTGAGTCCCAAACTGAAATATAGTTATAAAGCGTGTACTTTAATGCGGAAGTGGGGCAATTTAGAATAAAGATCAGTTATCAGTTTAGATTCCTAGTACCTAAGTTCATTTATGGGTAAAGACAATTTTGGCAGTTGTATTCTTTTTTTACTTCTGCCCAGAGAATTCCTTGGGAATCTGTGTATGCGAAATTGGACTTAGAGTCAGAAAGACGCTAGCATCATTGAATAAAATTCTATTTTTGCCAAAATGTTCGTGGGTGTGGGTGTATGGGTTGTTTGGTGAGCACACGAGAGCATTAATTTCTATTTTGTTTGCTTGATTTCTATGTTTTTTGTTTATTATTTGAATATTAACTTCCTTTTTCTGGGGTGGGCGTGGTTATCTAGAAAAGCAAATATCTCCAAGGGTGGGGAGGAATTGTTTCATTGTCATGGAAGGTTATATTTAGCAGGATCATTGTCTTTAATGGATTACCCCCCCCCCCATCCATCCCCCATCCACCAACCCCACCATAGCGCACGAAGTTTCAACAGCAACCCCCCCCCCCCCTTTCAACCATTCCAGTTAGGGTTACGTTTTATTAGGGTTACCCTCCGTTAGGGTTACGATCCGTTAGGGTTGCCAACACGTTAGGGTTACGATCCGTTAGGGCTCAGTGCCCTCAGCTAAGGTTAATACCCTCCGTTAGGGTTAAAGTTGGCCTGAGCTATCGTGCCAGGGTTATGTTACTTCCAAGCCTACATGCAGCCATTTTTAAAGAGAAAGAGGTCAGGGTAATTTATCTATGAAGATAATCATGGTGACAGCACCTGAAGCATCAGTTATCTCTATTAGTGCTATAACAGGCAAGAAAGTCGCATCATACAAAATTACAAAAACCGAGAGTTAATAATAAAAAAAAAATACTGCTTGGGGCTGCAAAAGTCATATTGGAAAATTTGACAGTATTTGCAAAAGTCATTGTTGTAGGGAACAAGGACAAAAAGGGAGGTGTCCTAAACTGTTCCTGTTTTAACTGGTTAGTTTTGTTTTCTTTGTAAAACAGATTCTTTAATGGTCATGTGGACTGGGTGTTTTCCTATAAAAAGAGGAATATGGCAACCTCAGAAGCATTTGTTGACATGTAAGCACATTGTTTATGCACTCTTTAACATTCCAAGGATGATATGTAAACAGGCTTTCCATGCATCATCATGGAAAAATCAACTTGTTACCAAAAGGTGTTTAAGCTTCGTAGCTTTTAGAGCAGCTGACCGAATCAGACGCACTATTGCTGACTAAGTTGGGCATAGAATTAATGGAAGATCATTTTCAAGGATGTACTCCCAAACATGGTGGTATCTTTATTCCAGCAGAATATTACATGTAAAACCAAAAGCAGTTATCGGGCGGTTGCCTTCTCTATTAATGGGCGGGTGTTTTAAAAGCATATAGGATCACTTGAAATTTATACCAAAATAACCTTATACTTTCTACTCAGTGCCTTTGTGTAAAAAGTAAAGATACCAAAGTTATCCACCTCAGTTTAAAACAAAAACATAAATAGGTGGATAAATAATTAAACCAATTTTCGTTGAGTAAAGAAAATGTAAAGCAGGCACTTGAATCTCAATTTTTTTTTAAATCAACTTTGAATTTTTATTTATCTATTCACTTATTTGCTGGTTTGATTTAGCATGCGACAGTGTGGTCCAGTGTTTCACGTCTTCTTTTACTTCAGCGCGGTGGTGGTGGTTCTTGATGCCGATTTTGTAAAGGTGAACTTTCTTAAAATAATAAGCGTTTTACTTTTTGTGTGATCGATTGACGTAGAGGGGTACTTAATTAATATTACACAAGAAAAGTTGCGAGAAAAAACCCACAAATGCCCCGCAACCGTGACATGCACTGTTCCCATAACATGACACCAGGATCACATGGAACGTTCGTTATTGTCTGCTTTAGGTTAAACTACATTGATGCATATGACCCCATAAAAATTTCTTTTCTATTTGGAGGGCATTGTATGTTATTTGAAAAGGTGAGTGAATGTGCAAAGGTCATACAAGAAATTTGAGTATACAAAGGGACAAGACCAGTGGGTACACAAAATGCGAAATGTATGTTGACAAAATGTGAGGTATATTAAATTAATCACAGTAGGGTCAAAGCATTTGTGAATAAAGTAAACTTTTTTAACAATGTCACGTTTCAATACTTTTTGTAGGAAATTCTGTGCACGTCCACACATCTGAAGCCGTCCTCTGTGTATAGGATTTTCGGCTGGGTATTTGGGCTGAGATTCTTTGGCTCGGGGATTGCAGTAGATGCCAACCCCGTCACCCACGATGCCAAAAGAGCACTCCTCAACCCTGCATTCAACAGAAAGTAAATCTGATGTACAAAGTATTTTGTTATTTGCGACGTGGTTATGGTGATGGCTGGAATGGTGTTACTGGTGCAAACCGTTTCAAAGTGTACTTTCAAATCAACTTAGCGAGTTTTCAACTGAAACATTGCGGAATAACATTTTAACTATTTAAAAACATCCCACTCCTTACTCGAACATCAATGAAATAGTTGATTCGACAATTTCCATAAATACTTTCATTCTGTGTTATCAGCACAAGATAAACCGCCTTTTTACGTCTGATTTTCGTGACTAATTGCGCCAAGGTTTAACGTGTTTATCCAGGTACCTCCAGGGATTGATGCGGCAGTTCAATGCAGGAGCAGATGTCTTGATTGAGAAACTGAGACACAAGGCTGATGGTAAGACGGAGGTCGCCATGTTGGATGAATTTAACCGAGCCACCCTGGATGTCATTGCTAAGGTGAAACTCACAGCGTCTTTTGTTACGTGCATCCCAAGGGCGGATCTGGGGGGACAAAGGGGGCCATGCGCCCCCCCCCCCAAAAAAAAACGAATCCAATTTTTTTTTTTTTTGTGACTTCGCATTAAGGCATGGCAATGAGTACACCGCCATCTTTTCCTAAAAAAACATTGGTTAAAGTTGTCAGAAATTGCCTCAGATCGCACCACAGAGCATCTAGAATCCAACGGGTTTTTTTCGGGGACCCGAACCCCACGCCATAATTTTTTGGGACACCCTATTTTGGCCCCCCCCCCCCAAAAAAAAATATATATTGTGTTCTGGATCCCCCCTGAATCATTCTCGCCTACCAGGGTAGTCTCACTCTTGTTCGTCTTAAGATGGAACACTGGCGAACATGTGTGTCGAATCAGATTCCTTGTTACAAAAGCTGACCACCAACGTGAACTCATCGGCCGGACAAGCCGCACAAGCGTCCCCGCATTGCGCTCGGCTGCCACTGAGTAGGCCATGAAGTACATTCATAACCTACTCAGTCCTCACTACGACAAAAACATCGGAATGGAACATTTCTGGTGATCATGTACACTGTCTGCTCCGAAAACAACCCTCAACATTTTGGTCTCGTATACGTACACAACGGTCGCCATTTTCTTGTGGCCTAAAAAAAAACATGAACCGAAGGCTACATGTAACGCGCTATCTCCTATCGATGAACAAGTAGGATTCATGAATATTCCGTGCGTATAGGAAATCGTCACAAATGTCTACGCGGGAAATCTGATTGGCTGACGACGGTTGTCAAAATCATAATGTGGACTCGGTTTGCCAGGGTAGACTAATGACGTACAAAAGTAAGACTACATTGGTCAGCGAGGGTGGATGATATGGAAAATACGAGTTTTCGTCGTTTCAAGTACTGTAGACTCATCGACATGTTGTCTTTATCACCAGGTTGCTTTCGGGATGGATCTCAAGGCCACACTCGATGATAAGTCGGCTTTCAACCGAGCGATTTCGATGTGCTTTAGGGGATTGGCCGTCATTATGTCTTCCCCTATGACACAGGTAGGCTGAAGATGTGCAAACCTGACCCGAAACCGAAACCATCCCGACCTCAAATTACTCCAACTGGCATTGCTATTCGAACTCAAACTCGCAATAGTGTGAATCCCTGGATTGACACTTCAATCACCTCTCATTAAAGGCGATAATACATTTTTACTAATCGTGACTTAAGCGGTTGGCAGATGTTCAAATTTAAATTAGTTTATTTTTCTCCACTCACGATAGCACTAGTTCCCCGGGCAATTAATTGAAGGAGATCGAAAAGTTGCAGTAGTTTAGAGTCTGTTTACAAATCCAGTCTCACTACGCACTGCAAAAAACATGGGATGTAAATTTAACACCGTTGCATATGGTATCTTAAAATTCATTAAACGTTTTTCTCGGGGTATTTTTTTTTCGATACGGAATATCAACCGTAAAAATGGTGGTTGGATGGCGAAAGCTGATCAGGGCACACATTGGCTTCGTATAACATGTTTGATCAAAGTCGGAGATATGCGGGATTTGTTCGGTTTGGGTCGGTTTGGGTCGGATCGGGTCGAGTTTTCCCATATTTGTAAGGGCTTATTTAAGGTCTGATCGGAATCAATTCGGATTAACTTTGTATTATGATAAGAGCAAACCCACAACTTTGCCAATCGGTTGCAGATCAATCCATTTCCAGCTGCTAGGAAATTTAAGAACGAAGTCTCGGAAAGCATCAGGTTCCTTCGGGAGACAGGACGTCGATGCATCGAGGAGAGACTACGAGCCATGGAGAAACAGGAGGAGGTGCCCAATGACATACTGACGCACATCCTGAAGGAAATTGACCAGTTTAAGGGGGACGGGCAATTCGATATGGAAGGTTTGGTGGATGAGTTTCTAACGTTCTTCATCGCAGGTAAGCATTACGTGCGCTCCCTTTTGCTTCTGTTAGTATTTATCAAACAACTTATTATTGAATTTTTATAGTAATGTTCCGATTTAAAAGTTTATTCTGAGACCTGTACATATTGTCATTTCGTTTTTGATCACACTTCTCTCAAGCGCCCTTTCAGTTTTCACATTTCACATTGGCAGCCATTGTTGTGGGTCTCAGTGTAATGCAATACCGATTAAATTAATGTACCATTGGTTTTTATATTTAAAAAATCAGGTCAAGAGACAAGTGCCAATCTCCTTAGCTTCACATTGCTGGAACTTGGTCATCACCCTGAGATTATGCACAGGTAGATTTATCTTACTCTAAAGATGGCAACAATGCATGATCGAAAGATAGGAGTAATTATATGGTTGGCATTGCAGAGCAATGAAACTGGGCTATTTTCTCATACGATAACGCTAAAACCGTCACTAGCATCATGGGCCGATCTAGCTCTCAGAAAATGGTGTAGCTGGATGATAGTATACAAATACAACATGATTTATGGAGAAATAGTGAAAACTAATGACCCCGAGGTGTTGGATGATCTCCCGAGGCGAAACCAACACCGAGGGATCATTTGTTTTCAGTATTTCCCCGCAAAAAAAAATGCTGTATTTGTTTTACTATACCACTATATCATAAATATTCATCAGGCAGCTGTGCTATTTCATTCGTCCATTCCACCATGTTTTTCATCGTGCAATATTTGGATAAAGTGAAATATTATTTTCAATTTAAGGAGACAAACAGAATACAAAGTTAATTTTGTGTCATTTAATAACTTTAACAATCACACAAAACACTGGATTTATTATTGTTGTGTAAGAATTCACCCAGTTCCTCCTCGGTTAAAATCACAAAGTGAGCACCAACGGTTGCCATTTTGATGTATGCCGTAACAGACTGGCACATGACAACTGCCCTCACTGGTGATCTCCACGGTACGCTCGTAAAGCGCATGTGTCATTGAGAGAGAGATAACACAGTTCTGGAACAAATCTAAGGCTGCGACCCAGGTGTGTGATAGTACCTCCATGATTTTTGCGCGTACGAAGAAGCGGGGAAATAGTACAAACTTTCACACGGTTGAGTTGCTGGAACGGATCAATGAAACGCCGCGGTTGCCTGATGAATATTTATGAGGTATGGTAATAGGATGTGACCGATTCTTCTACCTTCCGAAAATGACCGAAGTTTGCTGAATGTTACTAGTTCAATACCTCGGCATTTTGTTGTCGTGTTACAAACAAGTACGTGTATTATCGCAGGTCGACCTGTAAATCTAACGGGTAACATGTTTTGTGTTGTAGGCTGAAGACTGAAGTGGAGGCCGTTTTGGGGGACAAGGAATATCTGGAGTACACTGACATCAGTCAACTCACGTATATGATGCAGGTTAGAGTTCCTGGTCCTTTTTTAAAATCATTTTCAAGTCAATGTATAGACGAGTTTTTCTTTCATCTCAGATTCAGGCTGCGTCAATGTATCAAGGTCCAACACTAACACTTTGCAATACGTGTCACATAAAGAATACATTGAGAGTGAAAAGAATACAGACTCACATTTACTAAAGATCGCTTCCAATTTTACGAAGGTGTTCAAAGAGGTCCTTCGGCTGTGGCCACCAGCAGTTGGGACTTCGAGGGAGCTCTCATGTGACGTCACGGTCAAGGGTTACAAGGTACCTAAGGGAAGCATAGTTGTGGTAAGTGCATAAAACGGTCTTTGAAGATATGAACTGATGTTTTGTAGATTTCCTGGAAAATCTTCACTTACCAGTATTAAGGATTGCTTATTTGCATTTATGTATGCTCCAAAACAACATCATTATAATTAAACGTTTTCTTCCACATTCAATTTCACAAGTGCTTGCGTGCTTTGACAAAATCTGTCTTGCTACCTAATTGTGCATCAGTACACAAGATGTCATTTTTTTATTTTTCTCATTAAAGTTGTTATCTCAAAGTTGTTTTGTATTTTTTTATTCACTTTTTCTTTTCTTTGTTAAGTTCAGTCTGTGCTTCTAAACAGAAGACCTCGATCAGTTTAGCTGTATTTTGACATACTTAAACCTTCATACTTTATTTTTGTTTATCAACACTGTTTACAGGTCAACACCTACGTTATGGCGAGAATGGAGGAGTATTTTCACGACCCATTGCAGTTTGATCCCGATCGCTTCAAGGCCAGTGATGACAAGTAAGTACCTTGTAGGCGTCGTAAGTTTCTTGTATGCGTATAACAAGGTTGTTAATATTTCATCGTGTAAGGGGCCCAAATAATGTAAGGGGCCGGTGCCGAACTGAACACTATCAAGTTTATTATTTGTTTATGTGCCAAACAAATTTCTTCAGTAATTCTACTTTTGTTTTACAGACTTGCCTGTCAGGGGCCGAGGAGGAAAAGATGGGGAAATCCCATCAAATGTCCACCCCAGAACGTTACAACCCACCTTTGTTTGAAATTTAATCATTCTAAGGCATGCACTTTGCCGCATTGCTCAGATGGGATCTTAGCAATGACGTCTTTGAATTTTGCACACTACTATTCAGTCTCCAAGGTGTGCGTGACCGATTTTAAACACTATGTCAGGACGCTGATAATTACCGAGCCAAAATTCCCACACTGTAAACACGTTGGGCAAAATGGGTTGATATGTAGACCAACGTTGGTCGACATCAACAGGTTAAACTCTTGGGCAAAATTTTCCCAATTGCTAAAAAAACTTACCCAAATGGTTTAATTCAAACCAATGTTGGGTAAAATTGTATCGCCAAACAGTGTTTTAGGGGCCATTCAGAATTTTCAATGTTTTAAAATTTCGATCTTTTTTCCAAATTGTGGTCGGGTGGGTCAAGCTAAATAATTGAAAATCGAAATTCACTTTCCATGGAAAAAGGATAAAAAACAAAACAAAGAAAGATAGATCTTTTGACTTGCCTGAACAACACGCAAGCGTTCCTATATTGCGATGCGTGTTTCTTTTCCAACTTGGTCCCCTGTACATGTATGTACTGTACATGTACGTCATGTACGTGTATATAGACCTACTGTGGCATGAGAGGGAGGTGGTTTTTCAGTAGACTTGGATGCCGGGCGTTTCTAGCGGTTAGGCCGTGCAGAGGCAGCAGGGTACCAGGTGTACTAGATCGGCTCTATAACACGCCGCGGGTGTCGATTACCAATCGCTATAAAAACTGGACTATTCAACCACTGGACTTCAAGACTACGAGGACCGCAGCCTGTGATGTGATGACTGCCCAAACCTGATGTTTTTCTTTCGCTCATACCCCCGCCCTGCAAACAGGGCAGGGGGTACGAGGGAATGTTTTTCTCAGCTACCTCACGTGTCAGGCACAACCTCGTATGTCACATATCATCCACCTCATCCAGAAATAGCCCCATAAATGTGGCATATTTACTGGACTGCCTCCGTAAATAAAGGCCACACTGCCACCATATACAAAAACATGTCGAAATTTGTCAAATTTTGATTATCACATTTAGGCTTAGTTTGTAGTTCATTTTTGCTTTAGAAGCATACTCACCTTTATAGGCTAATTAGAAAGTGCTGCCCTTTTCAGATGTCTATTTTTCGTAAAATTTCATGTTGAAATTTTGATGCGCAAACGTATGCAAACGAATCTGGAAATTTCACAAAAAATGAACACCTGAAAAAGGCAGCACTTTCTGATTAGCCTATAAAGAGGGTGAGTATGCTTCTAAAGCAAAAATAAACTACAAACTAAGCCTAAATGTGAAAATCAAAATTTGACAAAGTTCGACATGTTTTTGTACATGGTGGCAGTGTAACCTTTATTTACGGAGGCAGTCCAGTAAATTGGCCACATTTATGGGGCTAATCCAGAAAATGACAAAACCACGGTCATCTTTGTGGCTTCCAAGACTGCAACCTGCCTTTCCAAACAGCATATCAGCTGGTAAAACACAAGAAAACTGAAGGCCACCACTGCAAAAGAGGAAGACCGACAACTTCACGCCGTCACTGAACTAGACACACATGTACATGGGTACACATGTACATGTACATGTACAGTGTGTACATGTTCAAGTAGGCCTATATGTACACATTGTACATGCGAGTGCATGTACATGTACATGTTCAGTTTTTTTATTAATCGAAATTAGGGGTGGGTGGGTGGGTCAAAATAATTTGGAAAAAAAATCGAAATTTTAAAACATTGAAAATTCTAAATGGCCCCTTACCCATTATTTTTTACAGTGCATTCGTCAATATCCTTTTGGTCAAATTATAAATGTCAAATGATTTTGTTCAACAAGTGTACTTCATGTTTTTTAACACCCCTCTAGCTATGTTATGGTATGTGCCTCTAGCAAGTAGTCACAAAAAACTCATTATATGGAGATTGGCGCGCGCTCGTTTTACCAATCGTTTAAGACCGGCCACGTGACGGGCTCTCGACCAATAGGAATGGGTAAACTGTCAAATTATTATTTTGTTTTGCAGATCACAATATGCATATTTCCCCTTTTCACTGGGACGCCACAACTGCATTGGCCAGCAGTTTGCATTGGTGAGTATTTGGAAGAGCCTAAACGGAGACTTCCAACGTCATTCAGAAAGAAAATAATTTGCTATATAACCCCCTCTGCAATTTTTTGAAGGTTTTTTTTATGGATTTGTCATCGAATATGCGCTAAGCAAAACAGTCCAGATCATCCTGAATATTTTATGTATTAACTTGCTTGTTATTTGAATGAGAATAATCCGCCTGTCGCACCACGAACCGGCGTATCTTGATTATTTGCCGATCTGAGTTCTAATTAACTAAGAATAGTAATAAGACTGTGCGGCGTATCTGTAAAAAAGAAAATCCCCCTACCGCTGTGACGTAACTCATAAGCACCATCTTGAAAAGTGTGAATTCATCGTTACGCGCGTTGTATGAAATACAATAAAGAACGTTGTATCTTGGGAACTAAAATATCCTAAAACTAAGCAACCCAGAATCAAACGAATTGCATACGATTAAGTCTAGCTGAAACGAAACCGACTAAATTCTTATACAGGAAGTAAAAGGAATGAGCCTAGCAAAATATGACCACCTTTAAATCTGGTTTTTTTCTCAAAACACCAAAAATCGCGATACGTCGGTTCGTGGTGCGACTGACGAATTTATTGACACATGCATTTCCGACTTATCTTTGTTTGCACATAGCATATTTTGTGAGTGTTGTATCAGTAGCGTTTGTTTTGTATGCTATTGTATAAGAAAGGCGAGAAAGGAGAAATAATCACTATTGTCTGTTAATACTTGTGCTGTTTCCCCTACAGATCGAGGCTCGACTTTTATTGGCCAGATTGCTTCACAAATTCAACTTTGACCTGGTGCCAGGACAAGCTCACGAGATACTAGACGAGGTCACTCTGAAACCGATGGGCAGATGCAGGAACTACTTACGTCTTGTGGAATAGACACGTGGGAGCTCAAAAACAGTCGCATATCTCACAATTATACCAATTACTCAACAAAAGAATACGGGCAGTTTCATATTGAGATGTTAAATTTGAGGAAGACTTTGGACTTAGCCCGGAGCTTAAGTTTGAAATCAGTGGTCTGTAGTTTAATAAATTGTTAGACCACATACTACGGTGTATTATTTTACAAGCACCGCTAGAATGAACTTAAGAATTGGATTTTACATAATTTTTTTTTCAAAGTTCTCTTAAGGTTTGGTAATACATGTATTAAAGCTGCATTTTAGGCCTTTTTACGTTGATACCAGGTAAATTATTCTTCCCTCTAATCGCATTTTGTTTCAGTTCGAGAGGGCTATTATAGAACCGTAATCTTATATTCCTTTTGGAAAATGTTTTCCGTGATGGTGTTATTAGTTGATTGTTTTTAAAGGCTATAACTATTCAAACTAGGCGTGGTGATATTTAAAACCAGATTTGGATCTTGCTCTTAGAGAGGCACGTGCTGAAATCGAATCAATTCGGTCGCTAACTGAACAATGTATGTGTATGTAACTTCGTGAATTTGAGCTCATTAATAGTGTGGTTTGGCAAAACTATACTCGGGAAGAGGTAAATGCGCGCAACTTTACGGTCTAATGGTAGCCATTGTAATCATTTGTAATTGATTGGGTACAAACATCTGCAACAATTAAATTACCTGTTTGTCGCAAACAATGAATTGATCCTCTTTTACTCGCTCTGTTGACGAATATAATATAGGCTAACATTTAAAATTGTTGTTAGTACAGTGATCATTAGATAATCCTTGTTGAGTTAGTTATTATCCATGTGATCAGTCAGTCCTGGGTCAGATTTGACCCGAAAAAGGGTCATGTAGGGCCTGACCCTTTTCCGGGTCAAAAATAACCCTTTTCCGGGTCAAAAATGACACTTTCCGGGTCAAAATAACCAGGAAAACGAGTTACACAGTAATTTTGACCAAGAGAAGTGTCATTTTTGACCCGGAAAGGGGTCAGGCCCCACATGACTCTTTTTTTAGAGCGTAGACCTACACTCTTGGTCAAATTGTTCCTGATTTGTACCCGAATTATCCTTATGAATTTCATACAAAATAACTTTGCCCAGCTGTGTTTTACTTTTTTTTTTACGGTGTATACTATTGAACCTGCAAAGTAAGCATTGCCATTTTTTCCCCCAAAGTTGAAAGAAGTTTTTCAGAACTTCTTGTTTAAATGATAAAGCAGGAAAAGTCTGAAACTGTATTCACTTATTTCCACACACACGCGAATGCGGTTGCGTTCGTTATATATTAGCTATAGGGGCCCTGCAAACATGTTAATCCCAAATGAAACGATAGTGTTATCGAACAAAAATTGTCAAAATGGCAGCACCGTGTAAACTATGCAAATCCTACGAGTGTCACTGTTTGGTTAGCAGCTTTTAACCTCAAGAGGTTTGAACCAAAGTCTAAAAATCGAGCCATGGAATGGTTCTAACATTTAAAAAAAACAACACTTTTCATTAAAGTTCAAGTATAACCTTGTCTTTACTTTGTCTCAATAAAGATGTTTGAACAAACGTCTAAATTTAGAGCGTCGCATTGGTACGGTAAATATACAAAGCAATTGTGAAGTAATCGTGCATGTTTATCAGATGGAATATAGGCTTTTTGTCTGAACTTGTAACATTTGGCCGAGTTAATTCTCGGCTTTTATCACTGGACTATCACGAAATTGTGTATCATTCATGAATAATAATTCACTTTCAAAACAAACCTCCTCTTCACTTAATCACTTACACATTGGCTTTCAGCTGTTGATTTCCGTCACTGTTACAACTCTCAATTTTATCACTAAAGGATCAAATTATTTATAAGCAGCAAAATTTCCATTGATCTTCTCCTGTTGGTTATATTTTTTGTGTTGTGCAAAATGTAGGTTAAACAAAGCACAGTGTGCAACATTATGTAAGTAATTTAATGAGTAGTTAGTATTTTATTGTTGCTGTCAACATGTCTTCCCCTGAGTCAGTACAACAGGGGAGGATGAACCGTTCTGTCTTCTGTAAGTTCAAACGAAGAAAGAACGGTGCATCAAAATCTTTTGTGGACTTGGCATACAATGTAATTGTACATAGAAACAATTTATCATAAGCTTTGTGGTGATATAAAGTTTACTGGCACTTTCTTAATAGATTTTGAGTTCGGCCTATCGTAAATAGGTCATTTATTGCATTGATGATTGAGCTGTGGTGCTCCGAGTCAAATGGTGCTTGGAGCTGCCCTTGGGCCTTTGTGGGTGCCCAAAAAAACGGAAGAGCTATGGTCTCCGAGTCAAATGGTGCTTGGATGAGCTATTGGTGCTCTGGGCCTTTGTGGTGCCCAAAATGTGAATATTGACAATAATAATAGTGTGCTACATGGATGATGGGTCGGCTGCCCAGATTTCGGTACCCGACATTTTTGGATTAAAAACCTTCTGGCTGAGGCGTAGACACACAAATTTTCTGTGTTGTTTGTGATTTTTAATTTGTCTGCTTATAAATCTACTGCCAATCCAACTAACTTCACCCCAAACTCTGTCGCCCGCTGGCGTATGCAGGAATTTGCTTATACGCCCTTGAACCCATGCCTCAAGCATCTCATGTACCCAATCTTCATTCCAATTCCATTCGGCTCCAACCATTACATACGATACTCCCATCCAGAGTTCACCCTTAATACTGTCGAGCTACTTTAAGGATTAAAGTTGAACGACTTGAAGCAAATGACGTCCGTGCTACACCGCCTCAACCCGCCGGTGCTATGGGGATCGGGTGGCGGGTTGGTTGAACTTGAGTCAAGGGGTCCTTACCAGCCTTTTCGTTCACATTTTCTTTTTAACAAAAATAATATATAATGTCAATAAAATGAAATGCAAACTTTAATTAAATTCTTGAAAATACACCTTTGTGTCCCATTTAACCTGATTTTCAATGTTCGTTTTGCCATTTTATTAGAGTGGTTTGGTGCCTTTTTGTTTTTATGATAATGCGAATTTCCATATTCATGAGCAAAACTGTGATGCCATTCCGGGGCAGAAACCTCAATGTTACAGCTATTTCAGCACAAAATTTTGTTAGAATTTTTGAAAGTTTGGGGTCGTTTTGTGGTTCGTTGTTGTGTCAGTACACATCAGTAAGCCAATGAGCAAAATACCAAAATTTCAATGAGCAAATTTTGGATTCACAATTTGAACAGAAAACCCCTAAACTGAACAGTGTCTTCCTAAAATTACATCACAGCAAAAGCGCCTTAAGTTGTCCGTAAAAAGCATATGGGCAATTTTGAGTGTTTGAAGAAGTGCACTTTTTCAATAAAATTTTCCAAAAAGGGATGTGAAATAGTTTTCATACAATTTAAATGGAGTAGAAAGTTGCATGACCCTCACCAGCAGGGCAAAGTCCCTGAGCCCTACCGATATTAACGTCCTTTTGTTTGATCAGATCGGTCCAAAGGAGTCAACTTTAGGGTCAACTTGTTAGCAAACTTTATGTACAGTTTTAGCGTGCACAAGTCACGCTTATTCACTAGTAGGTATTGGTATGGCGCGCGAAAGTGACATTTACTCAAGTTAAACATCTGATAATTGCAAGAAATCTATCATTTCAAGATGCCTCCAATTACTTCATTCAAACATATTAAATGCTTCTGGATTTGGTGAATTTTTTTATCGATTTCAAGATTTCGAGATATCCCGAAATGGAAATGGATTTGCCCCCCCCCCCGGACATTGTTATCACCAATGCTTCGAAACCCGTTCTTTAACAATGCCCCATCCTGGTTGCAAAAACAAAAAATGCCACCCTTTTTTTCAGAAAAAAAATACCAAGTTTGCCAATCGTTCACCCTAAATCTTGATTCACGATCATACACGCTGCAGCCGTCTATTCCAAACGTACTTGCCACCACCTGTGATAAGGGGTCTAAGGTTATTCCCAAAGATTTCAAAAGTTCGTGTTCAAAGTCTGTAGGTTTATTGCTATAACTCGCAGTGCAGCTGTAGCCGATGGGTCCTGGTAAACATTGACTTGCAGAGTCACATACGAAGCAACATCATGGAGATCGGTGCAGGGAGACTGTTGTGGGAGTGCCTTGTGGCCCTAGCGGTCATCGTGCCGACTCTGATTGTCGGAGCCATCTCAGTGCTGGTCCTGTATCTCGTCTATCAGCACAGGAGATTTGCTAACATACCTAGCCCACCGAGGAAAGAGTAAGTCATAAGTGGACCAAAACAATGGATCACTATTTTTTAACATTGTTTTATCATCATGAATCCGAGCTTTTTCCGGAATTGCAATGAAATGGGGTAAACGGAAATTACCTATACTGAACTTTAAAAAAAAGAAGTGCGAGTGCACAATAAGCTCCGGTGAAAAATACGATGCCGATTGCACAATATGGAACACAATACTTTTGGTCAGTTTTTGGCGACATTTCCTCCTTCTGTGTCCAACCTCTACACATAATGGCACCCTCCTTGTTCGAGGAAGATGTTATACAGCGCTAGTGCGAGTGTACATTACACAATAAACGCTGGCCGTGTTGATAAAAGTCTTACATGAGAGGCTTGCATGCAATCGATCAAACGATAATTATCAGCAACCCCTAAGCTGGTAGTGAATAGGTAGTGGCAATTTGTACTCCTTAGGAGGATAGAAACAAGTGCAAATGCACAATATTAAGCTCTGGCCGCGTTGCAAGAAATCTTGCGAACAGTCTTTCATGAAACCGATGAAAATGATCCCTGCCAGAGCTAAAAACAAAAATTGAATTCAATCACAATGATCCCTGCCATGCAGAGCTTAAAAATGCGACGGCGATGACACATGTGAAACAGAGGCAGAGACGGACAGACCGACTATCGTTTTTGGGGTTCCATTCACAATTCCTTAAATAATGTGAAATACTATTTCTCCCCATTTCCAATAACTAAATAATAGGTTTGGCTCCTTGGGTTTTCAATTGCAGCTTCTTCACTGGACATGCCAGACTGGTAATGGAAACGATCAATAAAGGCTCATCATTTTCAGACTTCGTTGTGGAGCAGTGAGTATTCTTATAGCACAGATTCCCACTCTGATCAATCTTTGTGCATTTTGAGAGCAAGAACATAAAGATATTTTTCCTTTGTAGGGGGGGGGGGGGGGCGGGGCGGGTGGGGGAGTGGGCAAAGGATACAGAACATACGTAAAAAGGCAGTGAACGAAGCACCACCGTGACTGCAGTTGCGCACCCAGGATTTGGCTTTGGGGGCTCCATTTTCTTTTCTTTTTTTTTGTTCAAACAATGTTGCCCAAAAAGGTTTTTTTTTAGCGGGGGACTATATTGACGTTGGTGGTGCCACTTAAACCCCTATTATACTACTCAAAAATAGGCCACATTACACATCAACAAGGTCAAATCGTGAGACAAAAAAAAATACGAAAAAATACAAAAAAAAAACAGTCTCCCCCCCCCCCTTGGGTGCGCCACTGCACCACCGTTCATCGACTGGTATGTGAAATATGCCCCACGAATTTAAAAATATATATCGAATTTTCATTGAATAAAAGCATTTCGTTTACCCCTCATGACTGACCCTAGAATTGAAAAAAAAAACCTAAATAATAAAAAAATATATACTTAAAAGAAAATAAAAACAAAGATACAAGATCCGAAAAAAATTATTAGGTTTCATATTTGGACAAAATTGCCACAAAAACAGGTGCCAAGATAAAAGTGCGTACACCTTGTTGACAATTAGTATCTTTGTGTGCTTTGTGGCTGACCTATCTATACAAACGGTTAACCTCTGTCAAAAATATACTCATCAGTCCAAAAATAGTATTTATGACTATAAATAGTATGTTTGCTTCTGATAAGGAATATCATTACAGCATATTCATTATATTGTTGTTACAAAACCTTCCTCGTATGTACTGCACCCACATATTTCCCCGCACCTTAGGTTTACATTTTGGCAAAGTGATCATTGCAGTTGTAGATTCAATCCGGATATAAAGTAAATTTCATACACAAACGAGTTGTGTGTCTCTTTACACTGGTTGGAGAAATTGGGAAATTGGCTATTAATTAAATAATTATTAATATTTTATTTGGCTTCTGATTACAACCCTTCGAACAAGGACGTTGATTCAAGGGCGGATCCAGAACACAATTTTTTTGGGGGGGGCGAAAAAAAATTTTGGTCCCCCCCCCCCAAAAAAAAGTGGGTCCAAAAATTACGGCGTGAGGTTCGGGGCCCGCTTAAGGGCCCCTAAATTTTTTTTGGATTCTAGATGCTCTGTGGTGCGATCTGAGGCAATTTCTGACCACTGTAACCAATGTCTTTTTTGAGGAAAAGATGGTGGTGTACTCATTGCCTGCCTTTATTGAGACGTCACATTAAAAAAAATGGTTTCGGTTTTTTTTTTGGGGGGGGGGCATGGCCCCCTTTGGCCCTCCCCCCGGATTCGCCCTTGCGTTGATTAAAGGGGGAACCGCCAACATAGATCTGAAAAGCTTAGTCGGTGGAGCACCGGAACAGCAATCTGAAGGTCGCACGTCCAACCCTGCTCATGTTATTATAATAATGTTTCCCTTTGTGGTTTTAAAGGGCTTTTTATTTACTTCCAACCATACCAAGCTAATTCCCGACACTTACTCTCGTGTTAATGTTCTGGTATCCCTTTAGGCATTTCACAGTTCGATTTTCTGCACAAACTTATGAACCTACACACCCAATCCTATTTTGAAACTTGGGTTTACGAGTTTGGTATTGTCTGCCTTTACTGGAACGCTTACATGCTAGAGCGCCCATTGCACATGGGCTCTGCAAAGCTCTGGCTACGTCACTGAAGATGAGTGCATTGTTGGAAATACTCAAGCGAGCTAAGGGTACATCCCAGTAAATAGGCCACCAATCAGTCCGCCGAGTTCACGAATAAAAGTTATACACTTAAGTTATTCTATAGGGTTCTGTGAGCCATGGAATTGGGGAAATGAAGACATATGGCACTGTACCTCTGGCCTGGACTGGAGCTTCCAATTCTGAGCATTTTGGATGCAATTGGGTCCGAAAGTGGCGCTATTTAGCCATGCTGTGGCGAGACCCTTTTCAAAATGGCTGCTTTTCCAGTTTGGGAAACATTGTTTGTTTAAGGAACGGTCTTTTATGGGTGAGAATTTCTCCAAAAAGTCATCTGTCACCCCACCAACAATTGACAAGAATATGAAAGATTATAAGATGGAATTTTGCGTCGGGGTGATATAAATCAAATAAGGTTTTTTGCCCTTCACCGACGTTTTTTAAACACTGTTTATTCAGTGTGTTACCTCCCGAGTGAAAGTTGGAAAAAAATATGAAAGATGACATGTTGATTATCATTTTTCTCTGCAGCCTTAAGTTTTGGGTATTTTAAAAAGAATCGTGAATTATGGGCATTTATTACGGGTGTATGGGATTTTTTTTATACTTGGGTGCACCCTTAAGGAACGCCCCATTATAGTGGTGGAAAGCCACCCCCTGCAGTAATCACAAAAAGTGGGCAACTCGGATGGGTCTACTCAATCACTGAATGTTATGCACTCAGTACAAAAACCGACTAACGGACGAACGGATCGTGATGACAACCGAGGTAGCCTGTAAAAAGATGACGAAAATATAATAATGGTACTGGTAGTGCCAAATTATTAATACCAAGAACGAAAGCCGTGTATTTTATTTTGCCTTTTTTATGCCTCTCACAGGATGAGAATCTACGGCAGCATATTTCATCTCTTCATGTTCACCAAACCCTCTATCATCTGTCTGGATCCTAGCTGTACTAAGGTAGTTCAAATAATGTACGAATTAGCCCTTTTGGTCTTAATTACCAATTGATTGGATTTCTTAAAGACTCAAAATCTTCAGACAAAAGAGAAACTCATCAATGACTACTAGTGTCTGTTTTTAAAAAAGCTGCTTCTGCATAACCGAAGGGTTGTTTAAAGAATGAGAAATGGCCGCTGAATGATATCTGTTTATAAAATTAGTTGTGCTTACTCATTGGTGAATATAGATCAACACTTGATACCATCTACTTTGCTTTTTGATAAGAGTCTAAAGTTTGCCACTTCTGCTATTTATATTAATCAATATTCAAAGGTCAGTGCAGAAATGGGGAAAATGTCAAACGTTCTATCGCAACCTGCAGAGACTGACCTGTATATAAGTCATCTACAGCTGTAGATGAATTCATCGTGGTTAGGAGCAAGCAAACACAATCGAATAATAAAAGGAAATTTGGAACAAGAATTAGAAAAAAAAGGTTTGGTAGAATATTTGCCGTTTATGGGGAGTCCTGTTTGAATGGAACTTTTCCCGATTACATTGAACCGAATTTTGTAAGAAAACTAGTTAAAGAAATGTGATTATTTTATCAATAGCTCTCGGAAAGCACTGCCACTGACATAAATAACATCCTGGTGGGGTGAAATGGGCTTATAATTTTTTTTTAAAACTATTTCTACATGTATTAAAAACATACGCAGACTAATAGGTAACATTGTCAATATTTGGATGTCGATATGCGAAAAAGGTACTCTAAGATCTGGGGAAAGGTTTATCCACTTGTATAGGTGTAGTGTAGTGTAGTGTTGTTTTCATTTAAGTTTGTTATTATTTACGCCATTGCATATTTTTGTTATATATTTTCTATCAGCAAATCCTGCATTCTACGACTCATTTCAAACCACCAGCCGAGGTGCAGTTTTTCTGGAATGTGTACGGTCAGCGATACCTACACCACGGGCTTCTCACCGAGTCTAACGTCACCAAACACATGAAGCGAAGGGCGCTCTTTGATCCCGCTTTCCACAGAAAGTAAGATAGATTCAGCTCTTCAAATGTTGGACGGAAATTGTTCAGCAAGCTGTTAGTTTTAGCTGTTTCGGAGTGCATACTCCGAAACTTCTCTTGTTTTGGTTAAAAAAGAATAAAAATCCTCTTCTTTTCCGTTTTCTTTTTTGCATTTTGCTGAGGCCTTTATTTAGAGAAGTAAAGTCCGGTTCAGTTGTACTTGGTGTTATAGTTTGATATATATGAATTCATGATATTAAGTGCCATCATGAGGAATCATTTTGTCTCCACATGTTACAGAGCCATTTCGAGAATAGACGAAACAGCTTGTGTTCGTACGAGAACACATTTCCAGTTTCATTATTTTTAATTCACCTGGATAAAAAAAAAGTCAGAAAGGGCTTTCACTAAAAAACGAATTAGGTCGGAGTATGATCCATTCCTGAAAAAATATACAACTGAATATCTCTTTTTATGTTAAAAGAAAAACATTAACAAGGAAAGTTACCGACTACGTACTTGTTGGTTACTTATAAAAGTGACTACAAGTGCAATCTCAAACAATAGATGGAATTTGAGTACGGTCTACTGCCAATCAAAAAGAAGTAACGTAAACAATACCAGCGTCACTGCTATATGCTTTGTTGTCCAACCTTATAAACATCGGGCGCAACAATAATATATGACAATTGATATTGTAAAGTTTTGTTTATAACACTTATAATATCAAGAGTGTCCGACAAATGGAAGCTTTAAACCTTGGCTACAAGTGCCGGCTCTTTTTTTCTTCGTATCTAGATACCTGAAGAATTTGATCTCATCTTTCAACAAAAGCGCCAATGTACTTATTGACAAGCTGGCTAAGGTTGCAGACGGAAAGACCGAGGTTCTCATGTTGGACGAGTTCAACAAATTTACCCTCGATGTCCTCGCAAAGGTATGGGTATATATAGGGTCTACTCTAATAGTGTTCGCCTGTTTGGTAACTGAAGAAAGTTTTATAGCTTTCTTAATAAGTTATAATATTGAACAGTTTCACATGGTGTTTGCATGGTGTTTGCATGTACTGTTTATCTTTTAGGCCTGGCGCTCTGGAAATAAACTAAAATGTCTTATGTAAAAATTATGTGTGACATTTTGTGCGTATTTACTAATACTAGTGTTAATAATAAGATGTATTTGAAACAAAAAATATGAAAAAAATTATATATACATAAAAAAAGTTAATGACTCCTGATTTCTAAGAAGAGATCAGTTGCATTTAACGGAAGTGTTCTTTCGGAAGAGTATATGAGTACCGCATGACGAAAAAGCATGTAACTGCTCTAAATCGGAGCTAATGGAGGAAATTCTTTGAATCCACTTTGCTGATTCATAGAATTAATTACATACCTGCAGGTGGCATTCGGTTTGGATCTTCTGGAGGACAAAGGGTTCAACAAGGCCATTTGCAAATCACTGGTTGGAGTTGAGATTTGCTTCTACAAGCCATGGATTCAGGTAGTAATTAATCTACCAAAGTATATATGTGGGGTTGTAAATAAAAGAAATCAGCAATGTCCGAATTGTCTGCTCTCTCGTTTTGGATTATAATGATGTTGTGCAAAAAGAATGGGGACATTTCTTCGTTATTGTTTACTTGCAGTGGAGTCCCTTGGCCTCCGATCGCAAGTTCAGGCAGGAGTGTCGTGAGAGTGTCCGACTGATCCGCGAGACGGGACGCCAGTGCGTTCAGGATCGGATCGACGCCAAGAAGAGAGGAGAGCCAATCCCCAACGACATACTGACCTATATTCTGCAGCAGTCAGACGACTTGCAAGGGGACGAGGACTTCAATATGGAAAACATGCTGGATGAATTCTGCACGTTCTTCATTGCTGGTAAGTTTCCACACTTGCCCGTGAAGTGTGGAAACTTACTTGCCCGTGAAGAATTTCTGGTGTTTTCGAATCCATGGCTTCTCATGCGGCTGTGGCTCTAGGTGATTCAGGCCCCTGATCATTTGGACCCCGGCTCGATAGACACCCTTGTATAAATGATTCAGGAACATACAAAACAACACGAGAGGGAAAAACTCTACTTTCCTATCATTAGTTAATTTGACATTGAAGGTTTCAAAATGATACTGGAGGTATAGACGGAGACGGCTCCGGAATGCGGCCGATGTTTACAAAATATACCCGAGTTTCTTGTTTATGATATAAACGTGCACGTGCACTGTATTTGTATAAGCCAATGGAGAAAGGATGAAAGACCATGAAGAATCGTGGTTTTTTTCTGACATTCGAGAAAAAAAACTCAAAGAACTATTGATCTGACAATCTAGCCCTTATGTTGGTCTGCCTTAGCTAGCCAGCTCGCTAACAAAAACAACCTGGGGGGGGGGGGGCGTCCCGGAGTCGTGTCCTTTGTCCGCAATTGATTTGAGCTAATTTACTATTACAGGTCAAGAAACTACGGCTAATCTGATGGCGTTTATGCTGGTCGAACTGGGACACCATCCCGATGTGATGCACAGGTAATTTCACAAGTTCTAATTTCAGATATGAATGAAATCACTTGGAGTATAATATAGTGTTATCACTGTGACCTCTCTGTATTGACCATACTGGATTTTCGGAGTCTGTTGAAGTCCAGTCTCTCGAAAAGATATTAAGGTCATAAAAGTTAAGTTCACCACACTGAGGATCAAGGGCGGATCTAGAACACATTTTTTTTGGGGGGGGGGGCAGAAAAATGTTGGTCCCCATCAACAAGTGGGTCAAAAATATTACGGCGTGGGCTTCTGGGCCCTTGAAAAAAATTGGATTCTAGATATTCTGTGGTGCGATCTGAGTCAATTTCTGACCAACTTAACCTCATTTTTGGAAGGAAAAGATGGTGGTGTACGTAGTGACTTTGTTTTTGGTGTTTTTTCGTTCTGTCCTTGCTAAGGATCTACACCGGCAGTAACCATTCTGGGTTTGTGTTCAGATGTCAAAAATGTGGACTTCTTTTGAAAATGGGCCCGGAAAATTACTTAGTCAGAAAAAAAACAATAAGGGGGGGGGGGTCTTTATCATTACAGGTTTGACATGTTTGTGCTTTCAATCCCTCGATACGTCATTATTTACAATGATTGCACATAATTAATTTGCACATTGAAATAATGTTGTGTATCATGAATATTCCAGATTGCAAACAGAGGCCAAAGCTGTTCTTGGAGATAGTGACTATGTCAAGTTCGAAGACCTCGGGAAACTGGAGTATATGATGTTGGTGAGAATTTGAGATTAATTTTGTATTTTAATTGATGGAACAATGCACCACGTTTACCGACCCCACATAAGTCCTACACCGGCACCACCAGAGGAACAGAAGGTTTAGTGGAAAGGACATTATTTATTCTAATTAGAGGAATACAGAAATTTTGAATAGGTCTCCTGCTCACATAATTCGGTGTTTGTAACCTCCGATAAAATATCAAACACAAATTGTGACATGTAATTGAAGGATTGCCCCTTGGACCTATTTATTTTCGTGTAGCACTATTTTTCTGTGGTTCCCTGTGTAGGTAATCAAGGAAACTTTGAGACTGTGGCCGCCCGTAATTGGGACGAGTCGTCAATTGGCCCACGAGGAGACACTGCTTGGCTACAAGATACCTGCTGGCACCCCTGTATGGGTACGTATTGATCAGTCACTCGTCTGGGAGATCAGGTTGGCGCAGTGGTAATTAATGTCCCTGCTTCTCCGTGACCCAGGTTCGAATCCCAACTACGGGATTAGTTTCTCAGTCCCTACTTTATTTCATGGATTAACGAGGTGTATCATCCTACCTCTAATACTTGACAATTCTTCGTTTAATGTCTTCAAGCTTGCAAGCTCTAGTTCCTGTGCATCTTGAAAAACTCTTGTTTTTTAACACGACATTTTGTTAAAATATAAACAATACATGTAAAAAAAAATATTCGTAATTTTCGATCCACTTATCAGTTAACAATTCAGAAAATGAGCCTTTTCAAAACCCTACAACGACTTTCGACCCCAATATTTGGATTATCTCTGGTACCTTGAAACACTATATGAACAAAGTATTTTAATTAAGATGTCGAAACTTGTTTGAATTCTTTTTGAAGCTCAATACTTACACCATGGGAAGAAATGAAAAGTACTTTCCCGATCATCTCGACTTCAATCCTGACCGATTTATCGATACTGGGGAGGACAGGTGAGTTATGGCACAGTTCGGCTTTTGCAGAATCGAAAACGAACCGCGAAAACCGAATTCTAAATAGAAATCTTGGGCCTATTGAGGGTTAATATACAAATTGTGTGTCAGGCTGTTTCCCAACTCCTTCTGGCTTTCGTCTGTAGCGCGTGGAGTCGTTTCGAAAATATAACTAACTCGAAAAATATGGATGCAATTTCTGCAAACTGCTGACTGACTGGATTGACCAGAAATATACAAAAAAATGAAAAAAAAAATTGAAGGGGCCGCTGTTCATGATAAAGATGTGCATCTTATGTATACTTACACCGGCCCTTAACCTTACATCAAAACGGCGCATTTAACGCTTTCGTACTTTTTCCTGCCTTTTTTTTGGTACTATTGAATACATTTCGGTTGTTGGGAAGTTCGAAACATGCCTTAGAATCCACCTTTTTTTGTTTCTCACCAACCGATGTCAAGGAAAATCAATCGCGCATTTTCTTTTAATGTGGAAATGCTTCATCATGTTCATGATGTGACGATCTTGTTGCCTTTTACTTTCTGTGTTTCATTTCTTTTCGATTTTAATATGCATCAACTGTTTTTTTTAAATTTATTTCAACAGCTTGTTGACTCAAGTTTGTATCTGATGAACCGCATCATCGATTTTCCTTGAAATCGGTTGAGTTTTTGACATGCCTTTATTTGAACATGAATAATTTCAAACCCCTTTTAAAAATCAAAGCAATACTTTTTAGATATAAAGTTAAGATTCAAAGCTTTAAAACGATATAAAACAAATAAGTCGGTACGTGTTTCCGTGGCGACGCCAGAGCCTCGCAAAAAGAATGTTGCGGGTATGTTGGTAGCCGGCGTGTACAATTCTGCACTTATTGTGTTTTTAGCTGCAGGTTATACACGTCTAACACGAAATCTTCCGTGAATTGTTGTAGAATTGCGAACATTTGCAGGGGCGGATCCAGGAATTTTCGCAATGGGGAGGGGGGGATTTCATCGGCAAAAAAAATCTAACATGTTGACACGTTTTTTTTCTCCGGACACATGGCCTCCCTAAAATCAAAAAGCGGGAAGAGGGGGAGAGGGGTTCGTACCATACATGCAATGGGGGCGCTGTTCAAATCCGACGATTATTTACACTATATCACAGGGGGATACCGGAGCAGGGTGAAGGTCGCATTTTTTCCCATGAATTTCTATGGAAAAAAATCGTTTGACAGAGCTGGGGGGGAGGGAGGCGCCTGATTTCTAAAGTTCTCTTCATGAGATAAAGAGCAGGATATTCCTACGACAAGAATTAAGATGAACTTAATTCTGCAATACTTCTAGAGTGAAATAAAGATTTGACAGCAACTTGTGTGTCTTATCATATTATGGCCAGCGCATTTTAGTCGAGTTGAACAGAATGTAATGCTAACAAAGAAGATGTTTAAAATGTGTTGAATTGGGTTTGTCGTGTTTGTTTGATTGTGCAGGCACCTTTTCACTCACTTCCCTTTCTCAATGGGTATAAGGTCCTGCATCGGCCAACAGTTTGCGTTGGTGAGTATAATAATGTTATACCAGTGTATTACCCATTTGATGTCAAGATGTTCTACACCTCTGATGTCCCGTGGGTTACCCCCCCCCCCCCAGCCCCACCACACATCTCCTTATCCGTCTGACTGTTCTGCGCTGATTTGTCACTGGGTGATGCTTTATCAGTGTCCCGTTGACACGTAATTCCACGGGAATTACATTTTCAGCTTCTTCTTTTTTCCAAATCCTACAATGATTGTTTTATTCCAAACTTCAAGTTCAGGCGGGATAATTTCACAAGGTATTTGGTACAAGTGTTTTGTCTCTTTTTAGCCTTTTTATATATGGGTAGGTTCGTGTCCGGGTGATTATATGTGCCTTTTAACATGTTCAAGGTAAACTAAATCCTCACATTTTTGAAGGTGTTTATGATGCCAAAAGTGAAGTTTTTTTTATTTCCTCGCATATCCTAATTGGGCGCCTTTTTATGAAGCTTGAATTGGATATCCATAACCCCAGTGTTGTTTCCTTATCCATACTGCAGTCAAATACCCAATCACACCCGCTACCAAGCGACCCTACACCCTCACAAAACTGTCGATGCATTTCGCCAAACCACGTGGGCCTAAATTCCACACCAACCGTATCTCAGAGCACGTCCGCAGCTTTCAAATATATGGGCATATATAAACCTTGCCATCCAGTGCATGGTTGACATTTTTGCCAACCCGAAGTTGCCAAACTATCAAATGTTTACATTGCAAACGCTTCTGTGGATTGTTGGAAATCCCAAATCAACACACGCTACCAAAGCCGTAATAAAAGATCTCTTTCTTACATCACAAGGGTGTTAATGTTTGCTTAATCTGTTGCCAACCGCGGCCTAAAAAATATGCCCTTGTGGTAGGCCGTACGAAATGGCGCTAAATATTTACAAAGGAAAGAAAAGCCTAAGAGGTTTCGCCTACAACAAGACCATAGTTTGAAGTTAACCAGCCCGTTCTTGTTTATCTGACGCACAGATTGAGGCACGACTGATCATGAGCCGACTGCTGCAGACGTTCAACTTTCGTCTGGTTCCCGGCCAACCTAGGGGCGATGTCCTGCAGGAGATTCTGATCAAACCCAAAGGACGCTGCAAGAACTACATCACTCTCGCCGAATAAGTTGACATTTAGGGTAGGTCCGTGATTAAGAGAAGCAAATCTCATGTCATCAGTAATTATTGTGACAGTCAACGAAGCTTGCTGTACGCAAGCGCAATAGACAATGTACATGTTTATAGTTGATTTCCGTTAAAAAAATATTTTTGTTTCAGAAGAATGGCATTGTCACGTTTCAGTCAATGAATACAATTCACAAGCACCAGGCCCCACCCGTGTGACGTAATATTTTCAAAGAAATAGGAATGCGTTTGTGACAGTTTCCTTGAATAGCTTGTGACTTGACTTGAGACTGGATAGTGACTGACTTGACAATACTACGAATGCAGGATATTTGCATTATAGACCGTATCACACCTGTTACCGTAGTGAATGCTGTGGTCACGTGATGTCGACTTCGCCTTATCTAGTCTGCTAGGCACGTATATCTTTTGAAATATAGGTGGTAAAAAATTGTTGACATTATCTGTGTGGGCAAAGTGACAGGAGAAAGATGCCTATTGCCTATATACGGGCATACGTCTTATATGACATGGCCTATACCAGGGGAAAAAAATAACGAGACAGGTGGATTCAAGCGAGGATTTCCCCTATTGATGTATTTTTCTCAAATTGAATGGTCTGCGTACGAGGCGGGAGATATAAACGGCGTACTAAGTGGCTTCATTAAGTAATCGTTTAGTGACAATTTGAACCAAAAATGTAAAAATAATGTTAATATTATTTTTCATTATCAATATTGCATATCAGCAATAATCATCACATCTTTTAATGAACGATGCAGCAGCAGATGTAAAAAAAAAAATGCATTTTCTCCCATTATTTTGTAAATGTGTAAACACCGTCAAAACAAGAATGTTTACTGATCTTCAAAGAACGCGTCATAATTCTTGAAAATTTCCCGTACAGCGTAACAGTTCTTGCTTTTGCGTATTAAAGTAGTTACTCCAATTTCAAACAGTTAAGGCCTTCTTTAATCGAAAAAAGATAAAAGTTGTTTTTACACAAATCCACATGGAAATTAAAGGCCAAGATACATTGTAATTAGATTAGTAACTGTGAGGGTAACTTCGTGTAAAACATTGAAGTTTCCACATTAGTTTGAGACAATTTGTACATCAGTGTCTTAACCCAAATGGGGTCATCAAACTAATTTCACACTTAAAAACAAATTTCTCAATCACCTTTTTCTGTTTTGAGTACACGTATTTCTAAAAATTCACATCAATTTACCTTTTGCAGTGGCAGTGCTTTTGGGCCAGTTGCACCCAAAAATCCTGTACATAATCCAATGACACTGGGCGTTTTAAAGAATTCTTCGTAATCACCCATAAGTATTTGCTTTCAGATTTCGTTTGTGGCAATTAAAATCTGGCTGGATATGGGCCTTTTCTATATACGATGGACCAGGATTTATGTGTTATACATGTAGACTACTCGGAAAATAACGTTACTCCTATTTTTAAGAGTATTGCTGTTCTACTCCATTTAATGATCACCTGTACAGTTTTGTTGTGAAATTGAAGTAACAAACATAATAAAGATCAGTTTGTTTATGGAAATAAATGGCGTGAATACTTTACAATCCTCGTTTATTTTGTTTAATAATAATTATCCCTCCATAGAATTAAATTGAGATGACAACCTGTACGTATTTCATTACAATCAAATGTTATGTATTTTAATAAATTCCCTTACATTGCTTTCAAACTATAATGCTTTTCGTTAGAACATAAGTGACAACTATGATTGAGACGTTGTTGAGATATTTTTAAAACGATATCAGTAATGGGGTTAAGGAAACTATAAGACGGAGTTTGTTGTAATACGCTTTATAAAAAAAGTTATTTACAAAGCAACAAGGAGTGTTTTCACGGAATTATGAATTCCCTTCTCAAGCTATGACACATGATCAGTTAATGTCTTCCTGAAGTTATAAGCTTCATTTGTAATTAATTCATGAATGAAGAGAAATTAAAATATAAAACTCTGATTGATTGCCTTACAAAGGAGTGTTTGCATTGATATTTTTACGCTGATGAAGGCTTTCCCATAATCAGAAATGTGTTTCGATTTTCGTCAGAATTTGTTTTTAAATATCCGACTTCATTATAGTGTTACATTTTTGTTCGCTTCAAATTTCTTACGACTTTGGTATTATCACCACCCTCAGAATCCCGAAATTTATTTTGTTCTACAACTAGCTTTTGTCACTCACTATACTAAAGCACGGTATATCTCAAGTGATTAAAGGATTATATCAAGTAATTTAAGGGGTTTTTAATGAGGTTTTTTGTTTGACGACAATTTGGAGTGATGTGGTATAGAAGTTGACAGGTTCCCCTTATATGCGATTTTTCCCTTTAATGTAAACAAGTCCTATACAAAATGAAACAATTTCACATTTTCTGATCGCTTTTCCATTGACAGTTATATGTATAGGCCAATCCGGGCACGCTATCAATTCCCTCACAAAGGCCCCCTCAAATGGCGATAGCACTGTGTATGGCTATTGTCTAGATAATCCGACGCCAGACAGTTGCTTTGTGCAATAGGCTAGCGTGCACAATGGTTTCGCCATTGAAGGGGGCTCGTGAGATTATAAAGTGAATACCTGCCCGGATTCGTCGATACATGTACATGCCTTGTGATAAGTAAATAAACTTGGTTGAAGAAGAAACAATATGTTTGTGTAGCCGAGGTGGACCGGAAAGTGTCAGCTTAGACCACTTAATACTCAGCAATAAGTAAGTCGGCCGGTCATCATGTCAGTCACTCAGTGACTCAGTTATTCCGAAGACAAAAGGCTAGATCATCGGGCCCAGCAAACATGATAGCATGCCAGAATTTTTTTTAATGTTGGACAGGTGTAAGGTAATTCATGCATCGGTCTCGGAGCTGGAGCGACACGTGCTGAACGATGTCCCCACGGGGCTGACCAGGACACAGCTTGAACTCGAACTTGTGAAGCAGTCTGGCCATGATCAATCGAGCTTCAATCTAAAAAAAAAAATGGAAGAGGAGGCAACAATATTTATTTTATCTCATGAGCAAAATTGTCTTGTCATGGAAGTATAGGCTTGGTGCTACTCGTCCATAACACTAATAAAATCAAATCAATGCACTCACTTTTCCTTTTCACGAAATGAAGCTATCGCTATTTTCGTCTGTGAAGATCTACAGTCAATTTCTTTGTTCAACTTTAGAATTAAGATTAAGAGTGGGGCATCTGGACCAGTATAGCAAATCAATTTAGCTTACCAGTGCAAATGGCTGTCCCAGACACGAGCGAGTACCCATGGAAAACGGAAAGTAAGCGTACAGCGGTCTGAAAAAGAAACGAATGAAGTACAGTGACCAAAGCGTTGAAATAACAACTCCTTTGGTAAAGCCATTTCACATGGTGTATCTTCCAAGAGTTTTTAGGGCATTTCTTTCTCGGATTTGGTTTTGGAGTTGAAGACTTGAATAAATTTGAACATTTAACTTTTGTAGGAAGTAGATATGCAAGTACACCGAGGATAAATCGCTTTAGTGAGGAAGTGTTGGCTCGGAAGGCAGCCGGTGATGAGCGTAAGGTCTCTACGTTTTCGAACAGTAAACTCTGTCCGCCTCCTCAAGACGAACCGAGTTAACGGTTCGAAGCATCCGCAGACATTACTCTCACCACCGGCTGCCTTCAGAGCCGAACACTTCCTCACAAAAGCGATCTGTCCATTGTATACCGGCAAACAAACTTCCCTACTTATCGCAGCACCATACAAAGCTTCAAAGAACACTTATTTGTCTTTTGGACTTATCAATTGAATTGAATAATTAACTCACCTGTCCTCACTTCCGGATTTGTGGAACCGGTCAGGATCGAACACGAGCGGGTTCTTGAAGTGTGACTCCATCCGTCCCATTGCGTAGGTATTCAGCTATAAAATACAATATAGTTAACAGAATAGAAATACTTCAATTCAACAATAGAAAAATTGCATCTGAATGCATGCCCACTATAATGGGCTACCGGTTATGGAATCCCCATTTACATTTATTTGAGTTCCACGGTTTTCGTGATCAGGTTTTTTATGATAATATTGTCCCCTAATTTTTGGAGAGATAAGTTGGATTTGCGTGGGTTTTGCTCCATTAGTTGGACCTATCGTAAAAGGGTATTCCATGATTAATATAATTATGCTGTAGTGGGTTTTTAATTTTTCTGTTTATATCTTTGTAGGCCTAATTCCTTTTACAATGAGAAAATTGTAAAAAAAAATGTCTTTACCCAAACAACTGTTCCCGCTGGGATTTTCAATCCTTGCACGGTGACATCAGACGCCATCAAGCGGTTGGTTCCAAAAGCTGGCGGCCACAAACGAAGCGTCTCCTTGATCACCTGCATGGTTGAGTTGGAGGAGTTTGGATTATGTCGATGAAGTGTGAAAAAATGCCCCCCAAAAAAATGTCTGAAGCTCTTCTATATACCGGGACACGCCCTACAAATTTTGCACTGGTCTTAAACTTCTCGTTCATCATTGGGTTAAACAAACATTGCTAACTTCAGGCAAGCCTTTCCCAAAATAAGGTAATAATGATACTCGACTAAACCAATTAATGAGTTTCTTTCATGCCAGTTGTCGGGTGAAATTGTACTAAAAAAATAATCATCAAATCTTCCAACATGCCCACTGATTCCGAACCGATGTATGGACAACGGTTCTCTGTTGCTCAGTCCAGCAAGAGTTGGTGGTACGGTCCGTTGATGTTTTGATCTGTATGTTTTATTTCAAATGTGTACCTACCTGCGACAAGTATTCAAACTTTGCCAGATCCGCATACTCGACGAAGTCTCGATCCCCGAGAACTGCGTTTACTTCAGTCACCACTCTGAGGTCAAGCACAAAATATCGTAGAGAGCTTTTTCTTCAATTACACTTCTTATGTAAAAGTATAAGCTTCTGCAACGCTTACCTTTTAAAAGGCATATAGGATCATTTGCATTTATCCCAAAAGTAACCTAGCGAATTGTTATCAAAAAGTTTACTTGGATGAAGGACCGTGCGGGTACTTCACACCCTGTGAAATTATTCCGTCTGGTTTGTTGTCATTTCGAGGAAATCCAGAAGTGTAGGTGATTTCTAACGATCATCAGTCATTTCACTTATTTTGGAATAAAGAGTGTTGGTTTTCACCTTGCATGGTTTTTCACCTCGAAAGTGTAATGTCCCCTAAGCTGAAACTTCAACAGGTTAGATTTTAAAAATTTTCTTTGGATTGTGAGTGGTGTTATAATTGGAAACACCGAAATGCATGAAAATCATTGGATTAGATGACTTGAAAAGGATGATTTGGTGCGCGCCAACTGCAAGTTCATGGACCATCCTTGTGGGGAAAAAATCCTGTTTGCAAATCATTTGAGATAAGCCTATGTTGTATTCAGGAGCTGAAGCATGCGGGCAATGAAAAACAAGCAGTAACAGCTTGTACTTAATCTGGTCAGCAACAGGAGACTGCACAATTGGTGTGGTATGGGCTCTAAAGGTAGCCAGAGTCACATTACGAGCAGCAGAATTTTGGAGTCTTATAGACGAGCATGTTGGTTACGGGGTGCTGATACAGCAGCGTGTCGTTTGACTAAAAGACATTTTGATTTGAACTCCTCCTCCTCTTAAAGGAGGAGGCGAACAATCTGAGTGACGAAACAGTTGATGATTTTGAGAAGGCTATCGTTGAAGCTCCAATGATAAGAAAATAAGGTTTGATACCCACCTGTGCATGATTTCAGGGTGGTGTCCTAGCTCATGTAACATAAAAGCCATCAAGTTAGATGTTGTCTCTTGCCCTAATAAAGTCAATGGTAAAAAAACAATTCGATTATTCACTGTCATCGTTAAAGATTTCGATAAAAATCGAGAGAAGTTTGCGGGGCACAAAAAAATAATGTCTCAGCATCACCAGTCTACCAAAATGTCCATCAATGTTTATGGTCTGTGAATGGTTTGAAATTTTTTTGCTTCACACATAAATTCTCACTATATTTTCTACTTCGCAGCACGGGAAAATGAGTCCTGATTCCCACCTTATCACAATAAGTTGTTCAAATTTAAATGACATTTTGTTGTGATCATAATCACAAGTAATTTCACGTAAATCGAGACTTGATATGAAAATAGGTGTGCCCATGCAACCATAAACATGAAAACAATGCGTTTGTGTTATACTGTCGATTTCTTTTAAGAGCATTGTTACGAATGTTATATTTATATGTGACCAGCTAAAACAAATCCATTGCCTAACATTTCTGTCTCAGTGATAATTAACGACAAACGATACAATAATTGCAATCGATTGATGCAAAAAAAAACGACAGCTGAGAATGAACGCGTTGGGTATGCGCGTATTCTGGAATACTGACCGGCCAGGAAGAAAGTGACAAACTCATCCAGCATTTCCTCCATCTTGAAGTCAGCATCCGCCTGCAGGTCGTTGGATGCATCCAAGATGTAAGTTAAGATGTCGTTGGGGAGTTTCTCGCCTCTCTTCTTGGCTTCCAATCTCCCCTGGACACACTTGCGTCCTGTCTCGCGAAGATGATGGATGGAATCCCGTACTTTTTGCTTAAACTGGCGATGGGAGGGCAGGAAGCTGTACTGTTGAGTAGAATTGAAAGATAAAACATCCTGTATACAGATATGTTTTCCATTAGACCAAAGTGACAATTTTGAGTTGAGCACCGTTTCATGAACACAGTCAAAAGGGAATATACAACATTTGCTTTTGCTGTAATTGGACGGATATGAGGGGTTAGTATAATTATATAGACCAGCGTTGGAAATTGATACAAAAATACTACTTTTTTGAAAATGACAGCACAGTACACCAGGTGCCATGATTACAAGGGTGCTTTAGACTTTCGTTCATCAACAGTTCAGAAAGGAATCTCGTTTTTGTGTTTGTTTGTTTGTTTGTTTTTATGTTTGCAAATTTTGTATACATGTATTCTCTTTAAGACACGGAATAGCTTTCACTGGTTGGATATCTAACTAGAGATCAAGTCGCAACGTGAAACTTCTCCGTTCGGTTTGTTTATTTGACTGAAGTAAAGCCAATGTGTGATAGCCATTGCAGCCAATAAATGTCTTGCACGGTTTTACTGTTTTAAAGTCAATTCTGATTACATATTCTGTAAGAGCGTTCGCTACTCAAAAAAATATTTATTTTTCTCAATGTGCCCGTCGTACCCGGTGGTTCCTTGTCCAAGAGAATGTTTTTTTTGTACTGAATGGCTCAGTTTACTAGAGAAAGTTTCATTAAAATGAGAGTGTCTACGCAGTTCAAGTCCTTAATCAGTTTAAACCGAAACTTACCTTTATCCAGGGCTGAAGAAAAGACGCGTGGACGCCTTCTAGGGACGTCTTAACGGCTGTCGTGAACGGAAACTTGCTGTCGGCAGTTTTGTCGAGATGTAATCCAAAAGCAACCTATAAATGAATACAAACAGACAAACGAACTAACTTGTTATTCAATTTTAATAGTAACAGATATATAGCTTAACACTGCCACATCAGATTGTGCAGTTGTGCTCGTATGAAAAAAAAGTAAAGAAACAACGTTGCGAGAGGTTTGCTGCAAATTCTATACCATTCTACTCATTGAGATTTTGCCATACCAAAATAAGCATTTGCCTTTAACTCG